ACTTTGTACATAGAATGCAAGAAAGTGAGATCCACATTTTATTTCTCTTCACATTCCCTAACATAATACAGTATTATTATAGTACAGTGTATTACAAAAAGAAACAATTATTTCCTAACTGAAGGAATGAATAGGACTTTGGCATCAGTCAAAATTTCCATGAAGTCCTGACACTTGTAATTATTATGTCTGCCATCACACCCATTTCCATCTCTCCTAAACCAATGTGGAAAGGAACAAAGCTTGTTCTTATTGGTGTCTTGTGTCTTTCCAGGACAGAAAACAGCTGAACAAAAATAAAGTAGGAAAAGAGGGTAGAACAGGAGGATAATGAGTTATCAGTGGGGGGGAAAATGCTATAGCAAGAATTGAAAATGTGGAATTATCTCTGATAGAGGTTTCTGACCCAACTTCATCATTATCTTGAATTAACTTTCTATGCACTGTTAGTATCACTGGCACATGTATTATATTACTGTTTCTCTCTCAGAGCATTTCCTAATTTAGAAAGAAAAATTGACTACAGTTAAAACTGGATCAATTCTTGTTCTGTGAATTCAGGTTCAATACAATTTAATGCCTTTTAATTGCTGCTCTATTTGGCATTAATCTTCATATTACATTTAATTTCAACAATGATTACTCAAATTTGGTAGAACAAGAGGAAAAGTTAGGCTTGATTTCTAAACCTACAACATTTTAACATTTATTGGGACATCCAACCCTATTTTAAAGTTTTATCACTGTGACAGCAGGTCTATTCCAGCAAGCTGAAGTTAGCATAAAAATTTATGGGTTTTATGGCCATATAACTGCTAATACTATTTTTTAAAACCAGTTTTGTGCAATTGTCTGTGTTATAATGGTTATAAAGATTAAAAATAAAAATAATTAGCTGGGTGCAGTTGCTCATGCCTATAATTCCAGCACTTTGGGAAGCCGAGGTGGGCAGATCACCAGTTGTCAGGAGTTCAAGACCAGTCTGGCCAACATGAAGAAACCCTGTCTCTACTAAAAATTTAAAAAATTAGCCAGGCATGGTGGCACATGTCTGTAATCTCAACTACTTGGGAGGCTGAGGCAGGAGAATCACTTGAACCTGGGAGGCAGGGGTTGCAGTGAGCCGCGATTGTGCCCGTACACTCCAGCCTGGGTGACAGAGCAAGACTTTGTCTCAAAATAAATAAATATAAATAATTAAAGATTTATTAGCTGCACATTTATACCTAAAATTAAAATCTGAAAGAAAAAAAAACAAGCAGTTATTACATTTAGAAATAGAGTATGAGTGGGTTTATATTTCTAATTTAACTCACAAATTATGATTTCTGGTAAGATTGCTTTTTATTGTTAAGATACTAAGTGGTTTACCTAAGATACTTCTAAAGAAACTACGCAACTAAGCCAGACTGCATCCAGATATGAAATACACACTATAATCTACTCCTATGACCTCTCAAATACAAAATCATTCACATGAGGTATACTAGAATATTGTAACCCAGATCCATTAGCCATCATAAACCACCCAAACAAAAGGAGTTTATGAACTTGGTCTGTGGAGCAGAATGTCTCTTGGCAATAAGAGAAAGGCCTATGGTTATGAGAAAACAGGATACAAAAGAAAGATCCTATTGTCAGCAAACTACTTGAACAGCTTTGAAGGCAAGTTTTAATCCTTTCCATTTATCTGTTTCTCACAGCATTCCACCAATCATACATCTTTGCCATTGGTTTGTCTTTGGGACATTTATATTCACTGGGATAAACATTTATAATTTTAACATACAGATTTACTAAAATATTATAACCTATCTACTTGCTTATAACCAATATTTATGAAATTCTATATGTATAAATGGTATTTATAAATACCATGTGTAATTACACAAATATTTATAATACAGATATGTATAAATATGTGTATATATGTACACTATATGTATAAATATATGGTATTTCTACATACAGGATTTCATAAATATTGAGCATATAAATACTACACACACACACACACACACAAACACACACTAACTACTGCCAGTATTGGGTAGATTCTAATAAGAATAACAAAATGATTTTATCCTCAGGGCATTTGTAATCTTGTTGCCAAAACAAGTTCTATTCGCATAGAACAAAAAATCTTAGACTGCAACAAAGTGCCAAAAGATATGGTACAAATAACAAGTGCATAGGAAGAGTTCAATCTTGCCTCATATAGTCAAGAAACGGTGACTAGAAAGATAAGTTATTATGCAGGCAAAAGGTAAGGGAAATGGTCTCTTTAGAAATAATTTGCACCTTGAAGTTTCTTTGCACTATATTTTCATCATTTTAAAAAATGTTTTTCTCTTCTCAGCTTCATGGTGGATCCTGAACAACAACTAGATGTTCCTAGACATTTTCTTTATGGTTCCAAGTGCAAAACAGGTGTTCTTATCTAAAATGTCAATTAGAAAATTATCTGTGGTTGTTAATCTGTATACTTTTGTTTAGTATATTTACTAAGTGCACTCTTTTAAAACATATTCTATAACTTTATCATTCATGTGAATTTTAGCTCAATTTTCAGAGTTCACTATTCTCAATATTTAATGCTAAATGCTTTGCTACATTGTAACCAACCTAAAACCTTTTAGTGACAAAATCCTAATATGTGGAAAAAAGCATATGCATAAAGGAATAATATTGTGAAAAAGAATTTGTTGTGATAAAATATTTAAAGTGGAAACTTTTAGAGCATTACTTCATAGGGCAGATTTTGTAAACTGTTGTATATTGTAAAGGGTTAAATCAGCCTTTTGTGATTTTTAAGTAACAGATTTTCTGTGATTGAAGTTTATTCTTCAACAATGTCTACTCCATCCCCAACAGCCCTATGACTATTATCTTTACATTAGTTAAAAAGTTAGTATATAGGCATCAAATAACCTTGGCTGTAACCTATAGAATCTCTATCTATGTATCAAGTTATAAACTGGTTTTTCAAAAGTGAACAATTCTGTGATAAGTTGAAGTACCATTTAGTAACATAGCAACATTGTATCATTTATTAGCATTATAATTCCTTTATAAGTTAAATATATCAAGAAAGAAGAGAGTATTACTTTGGAAAAATGTGGTTCAAATTTTATGGCATATAGTTTTGGTATGCAGTCAAGACAGCTAACTTTTCTTATGAAAAATACATATTTGCATGTAAATAAGGATTTCAAAATACATGAAAAAATGTTAACCCAAAGGAATAAAGAAGAATTATAAAACAAGCAAAAAACCTTAAGGAAGTCATAAAATAATAGGGAAAGTATTAGACAGAAGACATCTGCTTTCTGGTTTCAACACTAGAATGACTAAAACTATCTACCTATAGATATCTACCTATAAAACTGTCTATAGATAGTATATTATCTATATAAAACTGTCTATAGATAGTATATTATCTATATAAAACTGTCTATAGATAGCATATTATCTATATAAAACTGTCTATAGATAGTATATTATCTATACTTTGCTCGACAAGCTCAAAAATTAAATATTTGTAATAATAAAAATCTGTTCCAGTTATAAACCCTGCTAATGAAAATATAATACATATAAAAATGTATTGCCATGCTATTTTCTAGTATAAATTCCTTTGAAATTATAAGTCTTCAGGGAAAAATATAAGGTAAAATATTCCTGTTTTTCCCCTTTGAAAAACTCAAAAGAAAGGAAGATTGAACTAATAAAATTTTATTTCTTAAGTATAAATTTGACCTAAAATATTTTCTCAAACTGATTCATGAAACAGCAACTCTTACCAATACCTTTGTATACTCTCAATCCTCATTCAATATAAATAAAATTTTAAATCCTTTCATAGTTTCTTTAGAAATAAGTAGGAAATTTTGATATATTATACATATACACATGTGTATATGTGTGTGTATATATGTGTATGTGTGTGCCTCTGGTCAACTCTAAGGATGACAAGCACTGTGTAACAACACCTGGGCCAACTCTTTTAATTTATATACAAAGCAAAGAACAACATAAATGGAGATATACAATGATTATTCAAACAGGCTATACATATGTACGAAGGCAAACAGACACATAACAAGTCTCTGCAGACTGATTGTATACAGTAAGAAAAGATCAAAACCTAAGGGACTTTTGACAAACACATCTTGAAAATGTTCGTTGTAAATGGTTTCAAAAATACAAATTATAGCCAATCAAAACATTGCTTTGGTTAGTCCATTGAAGTATCCAGTTCAAAAAGCATATCAAATCTTTTGGGAACGAGGCAGTTTCCAAAGTAGCACGGTAGTATTACTTGTTAAAAGGGTTCTGTTTTCAGTAACAGTACTAAGTAGAAGGGGTCTGTAGATTCCAAATTGGAATATGCTCTATCATATTCTGAAACAAGAATTAAAATGACCTGAGAATGGGCAAATAATAAAGCAAACCAATTTAATTATATGGTCATTCTGACCCCAGCTCTTATACAAATTATATATATATTTGGGCATGTTTGTGAGAGTTGCATGTGTGTGAACATGTGTGCATGTGTATTAACATACACATATATACTGGAACCTATTGTAGAAAAGGAAACAAGTAGGGCAAAAAAAAGAAAAGAAAAAACTGGGACCTAAGTATAAATATCTCATTTTAAAGTAAACAATAAGTTTATAGTTAACAAAGATTTTTTTTTCTATTTAAAAAACAATCCATTTTCCTAAAGAACAAAGTAATTAAAAAAAAAAAAAAAAAAAAAAAAAGACGTCACTAAAAGACCAAGGTGGGAAACATAACATGGACTACAAGCTTGAATCTGGGAAAAAAGATCAAAAACCAGTGAAGGAAAAGGTACTAGTTTTAGGAGTTCAAAATTCAGTGAAACAAACTTTTTGCAGTAGACCTAGGGATCTGAGAAACAGAATTAGGGAAAGTTTACACTTACCTATATATCAGCAGATATTTCTGGAAGAAACCTTTTTTTAAAAAAAAAAAAAAAACAGCAACATCCAGAGTGACAAACTGAAGGAGAATTAATGTATAAAATTTCTAGGAATTAAAAGCTTAAACCCAAAAATTCTTCATCCATATATGTTATAAGAAATTACAGAATTGAAAGTTCAAGTACTTCAATTATTTGCAAATGCCTAAATTATTTTGGAAATAAAAGTATCAGTTTTACTTTGAAATTGCTCAACTTCTACTATTCATGTGGTCTGATTAGTGACATAAGTAGCAGTTGTTTTTCAACTTCAGTTTCATTCACTACCATTGTTTCCAAATTATCAATCTGTGCTAGTAACCAATCATATATCTGAAAAGAAATCCCTATTAAAAAATTCTCTTTCCTGTCATTGAGAACTATGCATTGAACATTCTGAATCATTCTAATCCTCTGGAGAGACTGTAATGATCCATTCATGAGCTGGTATGAAATCAGTGGGAAGCAGAACAACAAAAACAACTTTAAAAGCAGCAAAAAATTATGTACCATATATACACTGTAGCAAATATTTTATATTTGGGAGTCTTTACAACTTACATTTCCATTCCATTATTACAAGTGATGAAAAACAAAACATTGCAAATAGCATGCAAATTATAAATACACAGTTTTACCACTTCACTAACCAAATTCTTACTTTCCCGTGTTACTTCCCAATTTATGCAGGAAACTGCCTGCAAAGCTGAAACTGATTAGAAAATTCTTTATAGTTTAAAATAGTTCTTTCTCATTTTTAGAGACGTCAAATAGCCAACCATCAAAATTAAGAATAAATTGTCACAGTCCATTACAGTTATTGTTACTAGATCCACCTCATTTACAGATGTCCAAAATATAAAATGAATAATTCTTTATCTTCATATTCATCTGTTCTTCAAATGCTACTTAAAACTTTGGTTGTTTTCCTGTATAATAAAATAAAAGGTTAATTTACCAATTGATTGAATACAGTTTTTACTAATTAGTTTATCGAACCAAATACTGTGAATGTACCAGGTGTTTATAGATGTAAATGCATGTTACTATTAAAGTAACTAGAATTGTCAAATAACAAAACAGTTAATGTTTTAAAAATATATGTAATTCATTTAAAAATATATTGTATTCCAAACCTGTTGTTCTGTTTCTGTGGCACCTAACTTTAAAAAATGTATTAATGTGTAAATCAAAAGTAAAATTAATTGTAATGTATAAGTTTGTTTAAAAAAGTGTATGTCAATCTTTTATTTACACAATAAAATGTTATTAAAGATGGAAAGTCTACAAATGAAAAGGTGACTATAGTTTATATAGCACCGAAGGTTATATTTATTCTTACAGACCATGAATTACATATCCCAAAGATTGTTGAACAGGTGGGAAAGTTCAAGTACATTTTTTCTTATTTAATATTCCTGTACCAGAAGTTTTATAAAAATATTTTAACTCCTTAAAAAGAATTAAAAACTTAAAAAGAACTGGCTAGAGATCTAAAGTTAGGGAGTTTAGGTGCCACTGTGGTATAAGAAAAAAAAGACCTAACAACACCATAAAAACCCTAGAAGAAAACCTAGGCAACACCAATCAGTACATAGGCATGGGCAACAACTTCATGATGAAAACACCAAAAGCAATGGCAACAAAAGCCAAAATAGACAAATGGGATCCAATTAAACTTCAGAGCTTCTGCACAGCAAAAGAAACTATCAATAGAGTGAACTGGCAACCTACAGAATGAGAAAACTTTTTACAATCCACCCATCTGATAAAGGGCTAATATCCAGAATCTACAAAGGACTTCTTAAACAAATTTACAAGAAAAAGCAAACAACCCCATCAAAAAGTGGGCAAAGAATATGAACAGATGCTTCTCAAAAGAAGACATTTGTGCCGCCAACAAACATATGAAGAAAAGCTCATCATCGCTGGTCATTAGAGAAATGCAAATCAAAACCACATTGAGATACCACCTCATGCTAGTTAGAATGCCCATCATTAGAAAATCAGGAGACAACAGATGCTGGAGATGATGTAGTGAAACAGGAATGCTTTTACACTGTTGGTGGGACTGTAAATTAGTTCAACCATTGTGAAAGATAGTGTGGTGATTCATCAAGGATCTAGAGCTAGAAATACCATTTGACCCAGCAATCCCATTACTGGGTATATACCCAAAAGATTATAAATCATTTTATTATAAAGACACATGCACATGTATGTTTACTGCGGCACTGTTCACAATAGCAAACACCTGGAACCAACCCAGCCTGGATAAAGAAAATGTGGCACATATGCACCATGGAATACTATGCGGCCATAAAAAAGGATGAGTTCATATCCTTTGCAGGGACATGGCTAAAGCTGGAAACCGTCATTCTCAGCAAGCTGACACAAGAACAGAAAACCAAACACCACATGTTCTCACTCATAAGAAGGTGTTGAACAATGAGAACACATGAACACAGGGAAGGGAACATCACACACTAGGGCCTGTCAGGCATGGGGGGCTAGGAGAGAGATAGTAGGGGTTGGGGGCTAGAGGAGGGATAGCATTAGGAGAAATACCTAATGTAGATGATGATGGGGTGATGGATGCAGCAAACCAGCGTGGCATATGTATACCTATGTAACAAACCTGCACGTTCACACACATGTACCCCAGAACTTAAAGTATAATAAAAAAAATAGAGAGTTTACAACATAACATTAAAAAAATTATAATCTGAGAAAAATGCTATGAATTTCAAAGAATTAGAACCCCAAAAATGGAGATATGAGGTAGTAGTGTATATCTCCCATTCAAACTATTCTCAGTATACCTATATTCTGAGTCTCATTTCAGTGGAGTCACAGCTGCCTTTACCTAAATAAAAGCATTTATGAAAACTCTAATACAAAGTTAAATTCCAGTCAAACTTAAGTAGAGACCACAAAGAATGGGAATCATTTACTAAGTGCATAATGAGACAAAAGTATCATACTCAGTACTCCCCTGCATTATTTTATTAATCCTGACAGCCAGAGATTATCATCCTTATCAGCAATAGCAAAATTAGGGTTCAATGAGGTTAAATGACTTGTCCAAACCTGAACTACCAGCACACAGAGTGGAGCTACAATTTGAAGCCATATCTGATGACAAAACTCATGTCCTTTCCAATGACGATCCTAAGATGCATGTAAGTATTTATTATGTGTATTTATTTAAATGAAATTTGATAAGGAAACACAGAAATATAAAGGGCTAAGAATAGAAAAGATGTGTTAAAGAAAAATATGATTTGTTATACTGTATAAAAAAACTAATTGAACATACTAGATAGCCCATTAACAGACCATGCATATATTGCCACAAAGATGTCAGAGAAGTAATAAATATTTTTTAAATGACTGGAAATCCATGTATAAAAAGGTAAAACTTAGTGCCCACCTCATAGAGTAAAATTAATTCCAGGTGAATGATATAATTTAATAGAAAAAACTTTTAGAGTATGGGACAATATTTTCATGACCTTTCAATTAAGAATATTTCTTAAACAAAATATAGCTATTCCATTCTGTTTCTTGGGTAGTTACTTTATAATAACTGATTATATTATACCTTTAGATTTTTGCAGTTTTCTGAATTACTTATATTTTGTAATAAGGAAGATTAAAAATCTAGAGGTAGAGTCTGATGAAAACGTTAAAGGCAAATATTTTTGTCATATAATATTACAATACAAAATTAGAAAACTACTTACTGGTTTTTGCAGTACAATGGGATGATCAGGCAGAAAGTCTGGTTTTTTTCTGCAGATGGAAACACTTGAGAGCTTCAACAGGAAATCTCTGCTGTATTTAATTCTCTCTGTAGATATTAAACATCAAATGTAATGGTATGAAATGTAGAACTATCTAGATCACTTTTTGGTTCATTTCTTTTTAGATGTCCTCTATTCATTTTTTATAAAATGATGAGTAGTGTCTATGCAAAAGAGAAGGAGGAGAAAAAGAAAAAGCTTTGAAAAGTATCTACTGCCTCCAATTCTCCTTTTACATAGAAAGAAAACCAAGTAACCAAGGAAAAATAAAAGAAATATAATTAGAAAAGTGGGAAATGCATGGCTTTTTTCATCTGGTTATTTAAACCTAGTAAAATGATCTTGTATAAAGTATAACCACAATAACAACTATTGGGCAATTCAGATCCTGTCAAAATGTAACCTTAATGAGCCTATCTAGTCTCAATCAATACTAAACATTTAATACAATAAAAATAAATTCAATTCAAGAAACATTTATTGTACATCTTACTATATATCAGGAACTGTGCTAGGTTAATAATGAATAGGATCCAAGATAGGGCCCCTATCTACAAGGAGAACAATGTTTCAAATATCTGCAGATTTCACATCAGAAATGATTACCAGAAATGATCACCCAGACAGATTATATGCTGTGCCAGAAGACAATGGAATAATATTTTTAATGTGCTAAAAGTAAAGAACAGTAACCCAGAATTTCATATCCAGTAGGAGAAAATAATCCCTCATGAATGCATGTGAAGGAAAGACATTTTCATATAAAGTAAAACTGAATTCATCACCAGCAGATGTGATCTTCAAGAAATGCTAATGGAAGTTCTTCAGGCTGAAGGAAATTATACTAGATGGAGACTTTACTGTTCAGAAATAAAGAGCAAAAGAGATGGTAAATAGGTAAGTATAACAGATTCCCTTTTTTCTCTAAGTTTTATTTTTAAAAATATGTATTACTGTTAAAAGCAAAAACAGCCACAGATAATATATAGATGAAGGGTGTGGCTATGTTTCAATAAATTTTTATCTATAAAAACAGCAATTGGCCTGTAGGCCATAGTTTACTGACCCCCTATGTTAAACATTACATTAAAGACTACAAATTGACAGAGTGGATTTAAAAAATAAGAAGACCCTAGTATATGCTGTCTCCAAGAGACATACATTAAATAAAAAGATATATAAGTTGAAAGTAAATGGGTATGAAAAGATATATATGCAAAGACTAGGAATAATAAGGCTTGAATTATCCTATCTTCCTATCAACTAAAAGGTAAGAATTATCAATGTGTTGTTCCTAATACACAGCTCTGAAATACATCAAGCAAAAATTAACTTACCTGAAATTTTGGGTCTGGCTTCTTTAACATTTTTGAAGTTCATCCTTAATCTGGAACATTCTATATAGCTAAACCATCAATCAAGTGTGAGAATAGAATAAAGATATTTTCAAATATACAAACTCAAAGAATTCACAACCCAATACCGTTGTTTTTTTTTCTTTTTTTTTTTCTTTTTTTGGGACGGAGTTTCGCTCTTGTTACCCAGGCTGGAGTGCAATGGCGCGATCTCGGCTCACCACAACCTCCGCCTCCTGAGTTCAGGCAATTCTCCTGCCTCAACCTCCTGAGTAGCTGGGATTACAGGCACGTGCCACCATGCCCAGCTAATTTTTTGTATTTTTAGTAGAGACGGGGTTTCACCGTGTTGACCAGGATGGTCTTGATCTCTTGACCTTGTGATCCACCCGCCTCGGCCTCCCAAAGTGCTGGGATTACAGGCTTGAGCCACCGCGCCCGGCCCCCAATACCCTTTTTTTATGAAACTTCTGGAGAATGCACTTGGGCAAACAAAATGAGGACATAAATCAAAAAAGAAGAAAACATAGAACTCAAGAAATGGAGGTAAGTGATGTCAGGGAAAATGGCCAAGTAGAGAACTGTAAAAGTCTTTCAGTCTACAAAAACAAGTAAGCTCATAAAAGCTGTCAGAATCAATTTTCTCAGAACCCTGGAATCTAACCCAAAGCTTGTAAAAACCAGGGGAATGCTTAGTGAAGAAAAAATAGCTAAATTTGGGAAAAGTTTTGTGGCACGTAACTTACCTGGGACTATTTCCCAGATAGTTCATGGCCTTGCAGACAACAGCCCTCATTACTTTTATAGGTCCCCAGAACTGGAGGGGGTAGTATAGACTTTATTTTCAAAAAAATTAGGATTGTTTGTTTTGACCTTTCTGGTGGTTCCCTGAAGAACCATCTCAAGAAGCTTGCCTGTACTTCACACTTAACTAAGAATTCTCCCAGCATTAAGGCTGCTACCCAAAATCCATTTGTCCAAACATTTACAGGAAAATGTATTAGTTGCTTCCACCTGAGACAAGGGATAACAGTTGGAGCAAACATTAGGCATACCAAAAAGCTTGGGAGGAAAAGCTAATAACAAGATGCTTTGAGGAAGAAGGGCACTGAAAGAATCCCAAATATTATTTCTAGAAGCTCACATGCATGTTAAAACTAGGCTTATGCTCACAGAAAAACTTGAAAAGATCCTAAGCACTCACTCCTAGCTGACTTTCAGATTCCTAGCAAGCAGACAATGAAGGGGAAGGCAGAATTGACGCAATATCTCAAAATAAGAGGCCGTATGCAAAGGCTTAAAGAGGCATTTCTTTGTTTTTCAGTTTGGTATGGTTCTAGGTACTGAAGGAAATTCTGTCAAATCACTAGCTGACCACTAAGATAACAGAACAGAGACTTCAATAGTCATGCATGACAAAGAATATAGATTTTACAGTATTCATGTGGAAAAGTCACTAAGCCAACAACAACAACTACTACAAAGAGCAACAATAAATCTAAGGGAAGGAAGAAAATCTGATTTCCAGAGCAGCTACATTACAACATTCAAAATGTCCAGTTCTCAATTACAACAAAAATTATAAAGCATGCAAAGAATAAAATATGGGCTCATGCACTGGAAAAAAGAAATTAATAGAAATTTTCACTAAGGAAGCCAAGACATTGAATTTACTAGAGAAGGGCTTTCAATAAACTACTTTAAATATGCTCTAAGAGCTGAAGAAAATTATTTTTAAAAGTGTCTCATTAAATAGATAATATCCATAAAAAGATGGAACTTATAAGAAAAAACATACAAATTCTAGAGTAGTTCAATAACTAAATGAAAAATTCATGAGAGGGTTTCAACAGTAGGTTTGAGCAGGCAGAAGAACGAATCAACAAATTTAAAAGTAATTCAGTCTGAGGAGCAGAAAGAAGAAAATGAACAGAGCCTAAGACATTATGATCAAGCATACCAAGAAATATATAATGAGAGTCCCAGGAAAACGTAGAGAAAAAAGGAGAAAAAATGATATTTGAAGAAACTGTAGAGTAAAATTTCCAAAATTTAACAACAAAAAAAGAATCTATACATCCAAGAAGTTCAATAAAGTATAAAGAATGTAGACAGCCCCAACTTATGATGGTTTGACTTACAACTGTGTGACTTCATGATTATATGAAAGCAGTTCAAGTTATCAGTCTTTAAGCATAGGTAATTCTCTGACCAAAGACTTTCTGGGCCAAAGACTCTTCTATCAATTTACTATATTTTCAACTTATGATGGGTTTATTGGGAAGTAATCCCACCATAAGTTAAGGAGCATCTATCTGTATACTAAAAGAGATTCTTCACACATAGATACATCATAATCTATAAAAGTGAACAAAAATCTTGAGGTCAGAAAGAGTAGCGATTCCTCAGTTACAATGAATTCTCCATCAGATAAACAGCTGATTTCACATCAAAAACTACTGATGTCAGAAGTCATGGGATGACAGGATGACATACTTAAAATGCTGAAAGCACAACATAAGGGTGAGTTTGGACATATATATGGGAGCAATGTTTTATATAACATCAAAACTAAGTTGATATTAATTCAAACTAGTTTGTTATAAATATCAAATACAACAACTAGGAACATATAAAATAAAGAAAATTAAAAGGAAATAAAAATAGTACACTAGAAAATATCTATTAAACACAAAAAACAGTAATGGAGGAATTAAATAACAAAAAAAGATGTATAGGAGACAAACAGCAGCAAGATGGGAGGATTAAATCCTTTATCAATTATAATAAATGTACTAAACTTTTCAATTATTATAAAAGGCAGAGATTGGCAAAAATGAATTTTTTAAAATCATCTATATTCTGTCTACAAGAGACTCATTTTGGATCCAATGATGAAAGTAAGTTTAAAGTGAAAGACTGTAAAAGATATTCAATGCAAGCAGTAACCAAAAGATAGCTGGAGTGAGTATACTAACATTAGACAAAAATAGACATTAAAACAAAAATTGTTATAAGAGTCAACAAAGGACATTTATACAATGAAAAAAGCATCAATTCATCAAGAACATATAACAATTATAAGCACATATGTACACAACACAAAGAAAAACACAGAATTAAGCACAGAAATAGATATTTCAACATTAATAACTGGAGGCTTCAATATCCCATTCTCAATAATGGATAGAAAAACTTGACGGAAGATCAACAAGTAAACAATTTGAACAACACTACAAGCCAACTAATCTAATGACATGTATACAACACTTTACCCAACAACAGCAGAATATACATTCTTCTGAGGCACATATGGAACTACAGCACACATGTTCCACACACGGAACATTCTCCAGGACGAACTCATATGTTAGGCCACAAAAGTCTCAATAAATTTAAAAAGATTCATACAAAGTATGCTCTATGACCACATTGAAATAAAACTAGAAATCAAAAACAGAAGTAAACTGGAAAATTAAAAAATACATGTAAATTGAAACACACTCTTAAACAACCAATGGATCAAGGAATAAACAACAGGGGACTTAGAAAATATGTGACAAATGAAAACAAAGTCACAACATATTGAAACTTATGCAGTAAAAACAATGTTTGGAGCATAGTTTATAGCTATAAATGTCTATTTTAAAAAAGAAATAGCTTAACTAAATAACATTACACATTAAAGAACTAGTATAAAAGAGCAAACTAAATTAAATAATAGAAAAAATGAACTAAATAAAGATCAGAGTGAAGATAAATGAAATAGAGACAAAAAAAAAAAAAAAAAAAAAACAGAATCGGCAAAATCAAAAGTTGATTATTTGAAAAGATAAAAGCTAACAAACCTTTACCAGGACTGATTAGGAAAAAAATGATTCAAACTACTAAAATCATAAGCAATGGTCTTGCATCCTGCAACTTTGTTGAATTTATTTTTATTAGCTCTAATAGTCTATGTGAATTCCCTAGGATTTTCTATAATACAGATGCTCCTCAACTTACAACGGGGCTATATCCTAATAGACCCATTTCAAGTTAAAAATAGCAAAAGATGAAAATGTATGGCTGACTAGGAGTGGCATCTTGCTGATGCTGCCAGCATCATGAGAAAAGTACAGTTTCTACTGAACAGATACTGTTTTTGCACTGTCATAAAATCAAAAAATTATAAGTCAAACCATCTTGTTGGGGATCATCTGTATAGGACTGTGTTCTCTGTGAATAGAGATACTTTTACTTCATTTTTCCCAATTTAAATGTCATTTGTTTCTTTCTCTTACTTAATTGCTATGGCTAGAACTTTCAGTATAACATTGAATAAAAACAGTGAAAGCAGGCACCCTTATCTTGTTCTTGATATTAGCGGACAAGCTTTCAGTCTTCACCATTGAGGATGATTTTAGCTGTGAGGTTTTCATATATATATTTATCATGTTAGTTTCTATCAAGAAGGGATGTTGGGCTTTGTCAAATGCTTTTTCTTCAATTGAGATGATCATGTGTTTTCCCCCTGAATTCTATTAATGTGGTATATTGTTACTGATTTTGATATGTTGACTCACCCTTGCATTCTTGAGATTAATCCCACTTGAACATGGTATATAATCTTTTTACTATGTTGATAGTAAAAACTTTTTGTATTTTATTGAGGATTTTTGTATCTATATTTGAAGGGATATTGGCTATAGTTTTCTTTTCTTCTGATATCTTTGGCTTTGCTATCAGAATAATATTGGCCTTGCTGGAAGTGTTCTCCCCTCTTCATTTTTTTGGGAAAAGTTTGAGGATTAGTGTTAATTGTTTTTTAAATATTTAGTAAAATTTACCAGTGAGAAGCCATCTAAGTCCTGAACTTTTTTTGGGGGGAGGTTTTTAACTACTGATTCAATCTTCTTACTTGCTACAGGCCTATTCAAATTTTCCATTTCTTCTTGAGTTAGTTTTGGTAAATTCTGTGTTCCTAATAATCTTTCTATTTTATCAAGTTATCAATTTTTTTGGCATACAACTACTGTTCACAATATTCTCATAATATTTTTTATTTTCATAAATTCATAGTAATGTCCCCCCATAAAATAAATTTATTTTATATGTGATCAATGGACAATGAAAAATTCCATATATAATAGCATCAAAAAAGAATACAGTATTTGGCAATAAATTTTACCAAGAAGGTATATGACTTGTACACTGAAAACTATAAAATACTGCTAAAAGAAGTTAAAGAATACCTAAATGGGAAGATTTCTTACGTTTATGGATTGTCAGATTTAATATTGTTAAGATGGCAATATTCCTCTTGAAGTGATATATAGATTCAATGCTCTCCCTATCAAATTTCTAATAGCCTCTTTTGTAGAAATGGAAACATTGATCTTAAAAAAAAATTACATGAAATTGCAAAAACCCCTAAACAGCCAAAACAATTTGGAAAAAGACCAAATTTGGAAGACTTACATTTCCCAGTTTTAATAGTTACTACAAAGCTATGGTAATCAAAAAAGTGTGGTACTGACATATAACATATTTTATATGACAGGCATATAAATCAAGAGAACAGAAGTAAGAATCCAGGAATAAACACATTAAACACATACACCTGTAGTCAACTGATTTTTCAACTAAGGTGCCAACACCATTCAATGAAAAAAGAACAGTCTATTTTACAAATTATGATGGGACAAGTGGATATCTTCATGACAAACAATGAAAGTGGCCATCATATACAGAAATTAGATCAAAATAAATCAAAGACCTAAATGCAAAAGCTAAAGCTATAAAACTCTTAGAAGGAAACAGGAGTGAATCTTAGATGTGGCAATGATTTCTCAGATATGGCACCAAAAACATGAGCAACAAAAGGAAAAATAGTTAAACTTCATCAAAGCTAAAAAATTTGTGCATTAAAAGACACTATCAAGAGAATAAGATAAGCTCCAGTAGAGAACGAAAAGACAACATATATACACATGCATACACTGGAAGGAGAAGGGTGGCAGGAAGAAGAAGGAGGAGAATAAATAATAGATGAGAGTCTAATATCCAGAAGTCTTGCAACTCAATAACAAAACAACTCCATAACAAACAACCCAGTTAAAATATTGTTAAAGAACTTGAAGCATTTTTCCAAAAAAGAAATAGAAATAGCCAACAAGTACATGAAAAAACAAAATAATTAACCATAAGAAAAATGCAAATCAAAACCACAGTGAGATACTACTTGTCACCCATTAGGATTGCTTATAATAAAAAGAGATTACAATAGCAAGGCTATTGAGATATTGGAAACCCAAGTACCTTGCAACTAAGAATGTAAAATGGTAGAACTGCCGTGAAAAAAATTTGGCAGTTCCTTCTAAACACAGATTTACCAATGAACCAGCAAGTCTGTTCCTAGGTATATACCTGAGAGAAATGAAAACAAATGTTGAAACAAAAACTCGTACACAAATGTCCACAGCAATATTATTCACAAAAGCCAAAAAGTGAAAACAACTCAAATGTGCATCAGTTGAGAATGGATAAACAAAATGTGACATAATCCATATAATGGAATATTTTTTAGTCATAAAAAGGAATAAAGTACTGATAGTGCTAAAACATGATGAACCTTGAAAACCTTATGGAAAGTGATAGAAGCCAGACACAAAAGATCACATATTGTCCACAAGAGAAAGGTAAATGTTTGAGGTGATGGATATCTCAATTTCCCTTATTGATCTTTACACATTGCACATAGGTATCAAAATACCACATCTGCCTTCAATTATTTTAATTGATATAAAATATGTATAGCTATTATATATCAATTAAAAAATAAATTGAAAAAATGTCACATATTGTATAATTCCATTTATATAATATGGCCAGATAGCTAAATCCAAATAGAAATAGATTAGTGTTTACCACATGGCCTAGGCAGAGGGGAGAGAAAGTAGTAACAGCTTAATGAGCATGAGGTTTCTTTCTAGGGTGATAAAAATGTTCTGGAATTGGTAGTATTGTTGCACAACATTGTGAATGTACTAAAAGCCATTGAATTGTACATTTTAAAATTGTTAAATTGGTGAATGGGTGAACTCTGCTTCAATTTTTTAAAAAAGAAACCAAAGGATTATAAAGGAATATCCCAAGATAATAGCAAAGGTCCACTGCAGAAAAATAGCTGTACAGCAGTACTAAAGGACAACTGGTCCATACTGAAATAGGATAATGGAGTATTCTGAAAGGAATGTCCCATCTAAGGAAAAAAAGAACTGGTATACTTGTAAGTATAAACAAGTGTGACAGAATTGTCAGAGCATTTTAGGAAAAGAATTAACAATAGATAACATAGAAAAATAAAGTAACCATTAGCTCTAGAATAAGTAAGTAATTGCATGAAAAGGAAGATACGCACCTCTTGGCTAAGCAGCTATATTTTACACAGTTATAATAGTACAAAGAGTGAGTAACACTTTAATTGAAACTTGTGAAATAATTACATGGTGAGGAGATGGAAAGGTGAAGAAGCAAAGGAGCTTAAGTTCTCAATTACCAAGATAAAACATCAATATATTGTTTTTAAAAATTGAGAAATTTGAAAATAATTGTATTTAGAAATATGATGATAAATATTAGAAGAAAAAACTAATGGTATTTTCGTACGTCAAACTTTTAAACTACATACATTGATTGACAAAAATTTGGAAACTAAATTAAATCATTTTATTTTATTTTAAAATAGCTAGTGTGGGAGAGACTATTTGTTCTCCCTTAGAGCAGTTCTTTCTTTTCATATCAGTAATAGAATTAACTGACTGTATTGCTAAAGGCTATGTTTCCCAGTCTACCCTGGTAAGGTAGGCTGCCTGGTAGGCACAGCATGACCAAGTTCTGGCAATGGGATGTAAGTGGAAGTACTATGTGCAACTTCTGGGTCATACTCTAAAGGTGAATTTCCTTCCCCCTTCCCCCTTCCCCCTTCCCTTCTTCCTAATGGCGACACAGGGAACATGATGGCAGGAGTTCAGGCAGTTATCTTGAGCCCATGAGATGGAAGCCATGTATTGAGGATGGCATAGCAATAAGGTAAGAGAACAATAGGAAAATAGAAACTTCACAGGGAAAAATCATTATGACAGTTCAGAATTTTACATGATACAGAAAATCTAGTAATAAATTTCTATCTTGTTTACGCGATTGTATTCCAGTGTCTCCTTGAAAGCAGTCAAACTGGTAGCCTGACTTATACAGATAGAAATCAATCTAAAAATATATAATAAAATTTCATATTTACATAGGTTTGGATCTAAGCAATAAAATCATATTAACTTTATATGAATGCTAAGACATTCTAGGATGAAATTGGGAATTATGATAAAATTTTACCTTTTTTAACTGGAGACTGATGTTGCTGCTGTTCATTAAGACCTTGTGAAAAGGCTTGCATTCCATTCGTCTTACACTATTGAACATGAAGAAAGTAATTTTTTAACTTAGGTTTTAAAACTGTATATAATTCATTTAACTACCCAAAAATATTTTCCTAATAATAAATGTATTAGTCAATCCTTTTAGTGGGGGCTAAGTAATAGCAATCATTATAAGTCTGCTTATTAAAAATGAGCAACAAAAACATCTTTCAAAATATATTCACATATATCTATGGTTTTTTGACATTATTATGATTATTAAAAAGGAAAATAAAACTAAAGATGAATTTTATTGTCCTAAAGATAAATAATTCCATAGCCATTAAAAAATTTTTTCCTGAAAAAAATGCCATTCAGAAGAAAAATTTAATTGATGAAAACAACACATTTGTATTCACAAAAATTCTGCAACAATATTATTTACTTTTTAAATATCTGAAGTAGAGACTGATGTAACTTTATAGGCATATGGACTATTTCATCTAGTGCCTTGGAAATAAGGTAAATAAGAAAAATTGATGTATCTGATGAGACAAAGAACATCAGAAACACTGGCAGAGCTCTATGTCTTGAAGAGAGATGCCTTAGTGCAGAGTTTTCCCAGTCTCACTTGCAAGAGCATCTTTATTATAAGATTGGCTAAACTAATGATATTTTAAAAATCAATTTTTACCGAAATCCCTTTCTTCTGATTCCATGCTCACCAAGAAATATTCAGATTCAATGTAGCTATCCATAAATCTCCCTAGAAGTAAACAATACACTGGTTGTACCAATAAAAGGAACTCAGAACACAAGACGTCAAGATTTCTAATTAAAAAATAATTGGTGTTCTGATTTTACAAATCAGTTTAATAAACTTGGTCAATAACTATCTACCCCTGAGAGATGATCTCCTCTTGTGCTGACAAAGTCAGTTTGCAAACCATGACTGAATTAAGATAAATCATGAAGGCAGGTTTCTTTGGAGGAGACATGTATCCTAAAAAATAAATATCTCTGCTCCATCATTGTATTGACAAATTATACAGAAATTAAATTTCTGTAAATGCTAGCTACTCCACGCAAGGCAGTAGGACTAATTATCTAATGCTATGACACAATAAAATCCATGGAGATAATTCTCACTATTTAGTCAAGAATGTCATCAGAAAAAAATCAAGTTGTAGTAGAGCTTTTTATTTTTAAGTAGAGATAGAAAACCAGGAAAATGTATATGATTTGGGTTCTCCAAAGATCTTCTAGACTGTTGTATTTAATTAGCTATAAAATGGTATTCTACAAATAAAAAACTATTTCTAGTCTCTGGAAATGTTAGCAGATGCACACTTCACTAATTTTTAACATCTACTTAAATGTAAGATCTAAAATCAAACTTGAAGGTAAAATTTTACTTTGTCATGTCTGTACATATTAAAATTTTAAAATAATGATTATTTTAAATCTTAGTAGCATGTAAAAAGTATACCTACAAAAAGTTTTACACAGTGATCATCTATATGTTATCTCATTTATTATAATCCTATAAGGAATAAGGCAAGTGTTATGATCATTGTGTTATAGGTAAGGAAAATCAGACCAGAAGAGTGTCAGAAGTGACACTGTGTTAGTTTCCAGTCCCACATATTAAGAGGCTGGCAACGTCTACCTCCTGTCTCTTCAACATTAGTCTTAGAACCCACATGTAGTGTTATAAGAAGCACAAGCCACTTGGAAAGGCCATTTGTAGGTGCTCACTTCAGTTCATAGTACTGGCTGAGCTCCAAGCCAATAGCCAGTATTAACTGACAACCTATTGGCAGGATAGACTGGGAAACAGAGTACTAGATACAATCCAATGTTTGTCAACTGATGAATAAACAAATTGTTGTATATTTACAGTTGCATTCTATTCCACATTAAAAATCCAACTACTTATATATACAACATGAAAGGATCTCATAAACATAACATTGAGCAAAACAACCCAACACCAAGGAATACATATTATCGTATTTCATTTATATGAAACTCTAGAACAGTCAAAACTAACTTATCTCTCATTAAAAGAGGCCAACCAATGGATGTATGGAGCAGGAAGGAGGGTTTGGGGTTAGTGTAAGCAGAGGTAGTAAATGATTGCAAAGGAACATAAGGACATTTTGGAGGAAGATTGAAGATTTTCATTGTGGGGTTCATTACATGGGATAAATATTTCCAAAACTCACTGAACAAATGAGTTCACTTTACTGTATGTAAATTACACCTCAATAAAGGTGATTCAAAAATATATCAATTATCTCTAACATAGGTTCTAACAGCTTTTGCATTATAATAGAAGCAACAGACAAAATTGTATGTTTGGAAGTAATTTAACTCCATAATTTGATTTTTCTTTGTAAAACTGCAATATTAACATACTAATTTTTTTACATATAAAGTAAAAGAAGGTCAACAATTCCAAAAAGTAATGAATATTACTGTTGTATTAGAGAAATGTCAGCTGCCAGAACAAATAAAACATTTCTATGACTTATAGAAAACTTAAAAGCCAGTGTAATTAAGACATCATGATATTGATATACAGAGACACAAAAATGATCACTACAACAGAATAAAGAGCCTAGAACAGAAATAGCTACATGAAAACTTATTATCTAATAAAGATTCCACTATAAATCAGTGTGGAAAGGATGAATTATTCAATGAATTATGCTTTATAATCATTTGCTTATAGGAGAAAAAATAGATTTCTGTATTACACCATCCAAAAAATTCATCTTCAGGTAGACTATATACCTAAATATGAAAGCAAAACCTTAAATTTTTTTGGAAGAATATAAAAGAAAATATCTTAATTTTGGGACTGCAAAGACTTCTTAAAAGTGAAATCCTAAAGAAAAACATTGATAATATTACATTAATATTTAAAACTTTTAAACAAACAAAAAAAATATGGTCTGAGACTCTCTCACAGACCATATTCCTGGAAAAGAAAATATTTGTTATGAACATAAGAAAAATAATTAGAATCCAGAAGGTATTTTAAAGGCATATAAATAAAAAAGAAGAAAACCCAAGAAAAGTAGGATAATGATATGAATTGGCAGTTCACGAAAGAGAAATCCGAATGATCAAACTAAACATATGAAAAGATGCTCTATTTCACAAGTAACAGAGAATTAAAAATTAAAACCAACCAAAATGTATAATTTCTCATCCACTGTCTTACCCAGTGTTCAAGTTTGACAACAGCAAGGTGAGGACATAGGAAAAATCAGAGCCTTTGCTCATACAAATTGCTTTAGAGAGTAATTTGGCAGTATCTAAAAGTTGAAGTTAAGAATACTTAGCAATTCTATTCTAATTGTATGACAGAGAGAACCTCGCAAACATGTAAAAATGAAACATATAGATGGCAGTCATGGTAGCATTTATTATAATATAGTAACAAGCGCCATCAACAGAAAATAGAAAAAAAATACAGTATAGTCACATATATTAAAAGATTGTTCTGTATCAGCACATATTGAACTGCTTTATTAATTGTAAAGTTGCCTACTATTCCATTTATGAATATACTTATGGTTGTGCATGCATAGTCTATTCCTGGATAAGAAATAGTATCTAGAGGCTGGGCACAGTGGCTCACACCTGTAATGCCAGCACTTTGGGAGGCCGAGGCGGGTGGATCACATGAGATCAGAAGTGCGAGATCAGATCAGCCTGGCCAACATGGTGAAATCCCATGTCTACTAAAACTACAAAAAATTAGCTGTATGTGGTGGTAGGTGCCTGTAATCCCAGCTACTCAGGAGGCTGAGGCAGAAGAATCGCTTGAACCTTGGAGGCGAAGGTTGCAGTAAGCCAAGATTGCACCATTGCACTCCAGTCTGGGCAACAAAAGTGAAACTCCATCTCAAAAAAAGAAAAAAAGAAAGAAATAGTATCTAGATAAGAAACTGGTACAATGCTTACTTTTGATCAGAGGAAATAGGAGACTGGGACAGAGATTGGAGGGAAACTTCAATAAATGTCATTTTATGTATTTTGAATTTTAAACTTTGTGGCTAATTAGTAAAAAAAAATAAAATTTTTAATAAAAAGTAAAAGCAAAAATGACAAAAACATTTATGTAAAACTTAAAACAATTCTACTTATCAAAAGTACAAATATATTCATGGAAAAACTAACAAATTGAAGATAGTTATCTATGGGCAGGATGGTAAGGAAATGGGATGGTAGAAGCATATATACAGGGTTTGTAACTATATGTTAAGTTTTTTTCTTTAAAGTTTTTTAAAGCAAATATAGCAAAATGTTTAGATTTGAAAATGCTGGGTGACAGATTAATGCATGTTATATTCTCTTTAACATATGCTTAAAATATACAATAAATTTTTAGTAAGTATATAAAGCATAGTATCTGGCACACAATAGCCATCTAACACATGTTACTTTCCAATCTATAATATTTCTTTTTATTTTAATTTCTAAGACTTACTCTGCTAATAACTCCACTTTGTATGCACTGAGTGTTGCATGGATATTCATTTTGAAAGTTGAAAGGGAACACTGCTCCTGTTAGGAGAGGGAAAAAATGATTTTATATAACTATTATTTCAATAAATAATATCATCAACTAAAAAGCTTAAGTATCCAGGATATTCTTGGCACTGTTTTGAATTGTGTTCTGATAGTTCATTTATTCAAAATTCATCCAGCCTTATGAAATGTCAGATGCTGTGTTAAAAGGATGGGCATACAGACATGAAAAGAGTTCAGACATAAGAGTTCACAGTCCATTTTAAAAGACAAGCTCGTATATAATGATATGATTTGATAAACTGTAAGTTTATTGAGAGATTTATAGAAAGTACTAGGGCAAGCAGAGTAAATTTGGGGAATTGCATAGGTTTCACAAGATGAAGTAATTAAATCTGAATCTGAATCTTAAAGAAAAAGTAGATAATTCCTTTAGGGATCTGCATGGGCCAGGGAGTATGTAAGCGTGTTAAGAAACACCAAAATTAATTTGTTTTACTAGACTTTTCTGTCTAATAATTCCCTACTCTGCTGTATGGATCTTAAGAAGATACAATTAAATAAGATACCAGGGCTACCTGCCCACCTTGTATTCCCCCTCATTCTCATTCTTCCATGTAACAATCTTGGAGAGAAACCAGTGCAAAATTGGATCTGCAGAGATGAAGTGGGGTGGGAGTTGCTGGAAAAAGTCTGGTCACAGAAAAGAACTGCGGCAATGGCTTTATATTCTTTCCTTTAGGATAAAATTTGAGACCTGACCCTACAGAACTGCTTCTACTGCACCAGAAGTATACAGAATTAGCATTACTCAGCTATGGTCCCAAAAGATCCATAAATTTCATTTATCTGACCTAAGTCACAGGCATATTGAAAGCAAACATGACCAATGTGGAGATTATCTTCCTTGAAGGATCCAATGATGGGAAAATGAACACAAGATAGAAATTGGTGACACTTCTACCTTTTTTGCTTCATTTGTGGACTCAATAAAATATCTATATTTCCCTTTTCTAAGTAGTAAGTTAATTCAGTTGAATACCCAGACTAAGAAAAATTTTTTAAAGTTGTATGTATATCACCTAAAGTAGACACAGGAGCCATTCTGGCAACAAGTAATGAATATAATTAAAAGACTAATATTCTAATTTAGAAGTTAAATACCAGGTATTTCAATAATTTGTCCAAAAGAATATTTTCATGGGTAAAAGAAAAACATTTTAGAATGTTTAAAATAAAATTTTTAAAATTAGATATGTTCCCGTTCAAACACAGCCATAACCTCTATCAGAGTACAAGTATGACAAAACTACTACAGAATCTTTAAGCTTTATGCTAATCTTTTTTTTTTTTTTTTTTGCATTTAGGTATGCCCTTATTTTTTTAAAAGGTTACATTATCTGTCCAGCACGATTGTTCTGCAGTGATCATAATCACAGGATACAATTGGTACTGGGAGTATCACTCTAATCAGAAACTGGAAGCCTACAAAAAGGAGACATGAAAAAAACCACACACAAAAAAAGTTACTTTCAGTCAAGGGTAATTCTTCTTTCCTTTGTTGGTCTATAAGACTATAGATTGGTAGATAATTACGAATCATTTTCTTTCAGTAATACTTATAAACTCTTAGTTTTCACTATGTCTTTAAATATCCACCTGAAACAATTACTTTGTATATTAGCCTTTCAAATACAAATTAGCCATTAATAAATTCATTATTTAAAGAACTGTACATTCTATTACTCACCTGGTGGAGAGGTCAGATGACGAACAGGTCTTGCTGGTTGAAGCGGTTTACCAATTAATTTTTTGGTTTCCATTGTCATAAAGACCTTGAGGTTCCATACTTGAAGATGAAAAAATACATTTTTATCTTTTGGACAAAACAATCAAGATGCTTTAGATATATACAGATAACCACAACTTTTTTTTAAAGTCACCTATTTTATAAGTTAAAGTGGAAAACACAAACACAAAAAAGCATTTAATATGCAACACTCAGACTTCTTTTATAGCATTTGTCACAGTTTAATATTCCCTCTTTAAAACATTTTCTTTCCTTAAGTTTACTGACTCTATATTTCTTTTCTTTTTTCTTTTGAGGCAGAGCCTCACCCTGTCACCCAGACTGGACTGCAGTGACACAATCATAGCTCCTTTCAACTTCAAGCTCCTGGACTCAAGAGATCCTCCTGCCTTAGCCTTCCAAGTAGCCGGGATTACAGGCATGAACCACCATATCCAGCTGTTTTTCTTTTTTTAAGAGATGGGGGTCTCACTACATTGCCCTGGCTATGTTCTTTTGGTTTGTTTCCTATTTATTTGATTGCCTCTTCTAACTTCCTTAGCTGATTCCTCTTCTTCTGTCTTTAATTAAATGTAGGTGTTCTTACAAATTTGGCTTTGGTCTTCTTAGTTAAAACTCATCTATGTTCATGGTTGCAACTTTTTGTCTATAAGATAAATATGCACTAATTTATACTTTCAGCATCCACTTCTCTTTTAAACTCCAGTTATATTTTTCTAATTGTTTAATAATATTTCAATTTATATATTATCACAGGTACCTCAAATTCAATATATCCAAAATCAAATTAATAACTTTGACTCCTGTATTCCTTTAAAGTCATCACCAACTCCCTCGAACTGCACTTGGTAAAACAGCCTTCAATTTGATGGTCTAAATTAGAGCCTCTGATCCCAAAATCAGTCTTTAATTCCTGTTCATGCTACTTCCAAAATATTAATGTTGTTTCACCATATATCTGGACATGCAAGTGTTTTGTTTAGAGTTCCCTCACTATCTCTGTTGCTCTTCTTCCAAACAGCTATTTAGCTGTCAAGATCAAGATGAAGTTCTTGCCACTTCCTTGGAAAATATCCTCATGTCTCAACAGGTAAGGTTAAATAAAATAGTATTCTCTAATAATAAACTAATAATATCAATAATAATAATAATTCCTCTTTCCTTACCTTCCTCCTCCACTGGTCCCTACTGTATTTTGTTTATCAGTTTTTCTAAAATAAATCATAATAAATATATTACATGTCTACTTGATTGGACTATCAGTTGAGGCCACAAAAACTAGACCTTATTTATTTTTGTATTCTAATATCTGCAACATAGATTTACTAAATAAACTCCATATAATACCTCCTCATTGCAACTAAAATCTGATGCCTGTATTGGACACAAGATTTCCAAATTTTGATGCCCATCAAGACAAAGTCAAACTCCAGTTGCTCCTGCACCTGCTTATCCAGAAATAATTGTAACCATATGATACTAAGCAAATAATAAGTCTAAGTGACTGTTTCCCCAAGTATAAGATACAGTTAGTAACTCTTTAAGTTTCCATAAATGCTTGATCCTATTTTAAAATATCTTTGGACATATATAATTCAAAAGTTAAAATTATAAACTTATCAACAATCTCCCAAAATTAGGAATGATAATTAAGCCCCTCAAAAGCTACTATCTGGAGATAAACCAGCAAGTACTTCAAGTTAATACCTACCCAGCTTTGTAATGTGTTTGTTAACTAGTTTTTCAACATGGCAATTAACAGCCTCTAAACAAAACTAATGCTCTCTGTACTTGTTGGGCAGTACAACTTGATATAACCAGAAGCAAAAAAAAAAAAAAAAAAAAAAAAAAAAAAGTTATAAGCACAAGTAGAAAAAATACTTAAAATAAATAGTTACTAGTATTTTCCATGTGGAAGAGTATATTTAAAATAAGGACCAAAAAGCAACCTACTATACATTGCTTTATTAGATGTTTATCCTACCTATTTTAGTTAAGATCCCAATACTAGTATGTAGTAACTTTCCATCCTGTTCCCCATATGAAACTAGTGAATCAGAATACAATAGAATAGAGTACTTTGGCACACACTTCCTTGTTTTTCATTGCTCAGCTGAAATTTAGTTGTAGGTTGTTAAGTCTTTTCCAAATGCTGAGCAAGACAAATCCACAGTATTCAAACTAGGGATTTTCAAGAGTTGAGGATTACAGAACTCTATTACATGAATTTGCAACAAAAGTAAATAAATAAAAATTAAAAGCTCTTTTGTTGCCACCTACCCTTCAATTTACAATAGGAAAGATACAGCAACAGCTCCCTTTATATAAATCCATATCAGTTAAGGAAATTAGAATAGATGGTGTCATGCAATATTCTGTTTAATATATATATTTTTTTTCTTTAGTGAACTATGCCTGCATGGAATCATTGACATTATAGGGGACAAGTTGGGGATTACAATGCATATTACATCTCACCATCATGTTATTAATAAAAAAGGTTAAGTGTTTATGTAAAGTAATTATTATCGTAAAACTGATTCATGAGATTATAATTAAGGACTCCATAAACCAAAACCGAATTCTCAGTTTAGTAAAAAATAATAAAGACTTAACTGCACTACAAAGTCATTATACAAAATAAGTTCAATCTTAGACTCTAATGCCTGCTTAATCCATGGAATGTAGAGATCAAAAAATTTCCCTTGAAGCTACTGGTACTACCTAGAGTAGACATGTATGATATCAACTATTCAAAGCACAGTTACAAAAGAAACAGAATTCTGCCTACAACACTGGGTAGCAAGTAGTGGGCCTATCATAATGTTGTAAAATGTAAATTTTAAAATGTAAATGTATATTTACATGGCATAAATGCTTTTTAAGGGATATTTTGAGCCAACATCTCCAAAAAACTTTCTATTAATACATGCTGAGAAATGGTTGCTGAATCTTTTTTTTTCCAAGTTCACATACACTTAACAAATCATCTTTAAAGGCCAAATTGTATGAATAGAATATTGGTAAATCAGTTATTTACAGTTGCTATTCTACATCTGGCAATACTAACTATATCTTAGGTTCCTTTTCTGTTTTAAAAAATTCACCTAAGTATGAATCCTCAGGCCCTATCAGTCCTAATATAACCAATAAACCTAGAATTTTCTAAAATACAATGGGATAATAAGCAGATATACTGACCAATTTGGACAAAATCTTATTAATCTTATTTTTTAATTAACGTGCCATTTTTAAGGTCCTACTACATACTAAATGCCTTACATATATCATCTCATTTAATTTTAAGCAATATATGAACTGTGGAAGAAAATTATTCTTAGCCCCACTTTACAGATAAGAAACCCGAGGCTTAAAAAATAAGAGACATGCCCAAGTCTGCACAGCTACAAAGGGCTAGACGTCAGGAACTGACAACAAAGTTCACACTTTTGTACCAAAACTTGCCTATTTGGTACATAAAAGAAAGACATCTGACTTTCCATTTATTCCATGTGAACACTGTGTGTATAGATTTAAAAATTAACGATGAAAAGTAACATTTATAAAGCCACGCAGAATAAATTGGTACATGCTAATAATTTCCATTTCCTCAATTTACCGTTTTTCTTAGAATACTAAATAAATTAGGGAGTACTGTGCTTTCCTCACGCTACAGACATGGTATACTGCCATACTAACCACAGATCACAGCATGTAAAACATACTCTGCACTGTTTTTAGAAGCTGAGTACTAAACTTAAAGTCTAACATAAATTCTAGTCTTCTTTGGAAAGTGCTGATGATTCCGCTGCTGTTGAGAAATGAGATCATATGAAGTGAAATAATGAAAAGACCATATTTGCATTTACCTTGTGTATATTTCATATATGATAACCAGATAAAATTTCATCTCAATTTCCAACTTCAAAACATTACAGAGTTAGGATTCCTTGCAACCAAATGCTGCTTGTAAGTAAATTGCTCATACTAACAAAATGACAGACGAAAAGTAACATACAGGACATTTCGGGGAGTAAGAAATAAACCACTTATGATTCAAGTGGTGAAAGACATTTCATGTTTCACGTATCTGGTTGCACTATTAAAAAAAAATTAAAACGAAAATATCCAAAAACTAGAAGCTAAGAGAGTTCCATCATATTTTCCATTTCATGCCTTCTCTTTATAATTAATTTTAAAAAAATTTTTTTTGGTCCATTTGAGGGATTTCTCAAAACAAACACAATTTAACATTTAGATGGGCTAAAGCTGTCCAGGTAATAGGTGTCTGTGATTACTTTAGTCATGTAATTGTCCTTTACGTAGCTTTGACTAAAATACCAGGAATGAAAACCTGTGCCACCAGGAGTAGGGGGCAAATCGTCTTGAAAGCCTCCCACCGCCTGGCACCAGGTGCTGGGGCAGAGCCAGGGGGAGCTGTGTACTTAGCTCCTTTTTTGGCGGTGGCTGTGGTCTCGGCTACTTGGCCCTCCGCCGGGTTCACCCGGCACCCTACACTTTCCTTCCCCCCTTCCAAAGCGCTCACTCCCATCCCACTCCCACTTCAGGGTCCACAGGGGACCGAAGGGGCCCTCAGAGATTTCCCGACCCGCCTCAGAGCTTCTCTCCCTCGTCTCAACTTTTCTGGGGTTGGGCCTGGGAGACGGCGCTCACCCGCCTCCTCACACCGCGGGACTCGACTTTCGTCCCCTAGTGTCGCTCATCCTCCCCAGACACTTACCGCCTCAAGATCCACGAGGATTTCGGGGCAGCAGCGTCGCCACGCTCAGCCCAGACTTGGAGGCCGAGCGCCCTGCTGCCCGTCGGGGAACGGCTCCAGCCGCTCGTCCGCTCGCTGACCCGGGTGGCGGCGACGGGGGGCGGGGCGGGAGGCGGCTCCGAGGGTCGCGAGGCTGGCCCGGGGCGGGCACGGGGCGTGGCCTCGGGCGCCGAGCCCGAGAGCGGCAGCACGCCTGCAGGGCTAGAACCGTTAAACAGGTGGCGCGCGCTTCCCCGGGTGCGCTAGGCACGTGGGGTTGGAGCGGCGCCGCCGGGAACCGGTCGTCGAAGGCAGGAGGGCGCGAGTGAGGTGAGGTGCTAATGGGCTCGCCCTGGACAGGGCGCGCCTGCGGGAACAGCCTTCGGGACCCCAGTGCGTGTCCCTGCTTGTGCAAAGACGCGGGGGGCCTGGCGGCGGGCTCCAGGCAGCGTCTGTGAGGGAGGCCGCCTCTGTGAGGGAGGCCGCCTCTGTGAGGAAGGGCCTCTGTGAGGGAGGCCGCCGTCGTGCTGACGACTGAGTCCCACCCCCCCTCCCGTCCCCCCTCTGGCCCGTCAGAGCGGCAGGCAGGCCCTGCTTTCCTCTTGGTGCATTTAGAGGGTGCCAGAATTAGGGTTGGCAGAGACATGGTTTATGTCAGATGGGTATACAGCGTTTCACACAAACTGCCATCCTGAAAGGAACAAAATGAATTAAGGCAACTTTTATTTCTTTTTAAGCTTCACCGTCAATCGTTTTGCTCATTTTTGTTATCTTTGAGTGTCCCCTCTGGGGATACCTGTTTGTACTGAGGGACGTGGGAGTGGCCGTCCCTCACGTCCCCAGGAGCAAGAAGGACAGTTGAAAATGGGAAACACTAAACGGTTTTAAGTGGGGCACTATCTGGATTTACCATTTTGGAAGGTATAAAGTTTCACTAGCACTTCCATGTATAGTCAAGTTATGGCTAGCTGTCTCTGTGTAGAAATGGCTCCCAGAAACACTCCTACCATCCGCTGAGACAACTCACATGGCATCAGAGACTAGGGTCCAGGGTCAGACATGAGTCATGATAAGAAGGAATCCCTTAGGGTGAGGCACCAGAAGTTTGCACAGTGGAATCAATATATTCTAACCACCAGATGTTGAACATTTTAAGTGCAGGATGTGATTTTCATCCATCTAGTCACAACCGAAGTTTTCTTCTTCAGGATATGCTTAACAATGCAACATGTATAATTTTATATACAACTTACAATAAAATTATTTTGTGCATATCACTGAAGTCAGTAGAAACTATTGTGACAAAAATGTAAATTGGAAAATTTCCAATTCAGATCAATATTAGTAATTTATTGAGAGGAAGACAGAAATTAGAGTAGAATAGACAGACTCCTTGATTTTTTTTTATAATTGAGGAAGAAAAATGAACCATGTAAACACATTGAAACTTTTCAAAATGTTTAACTGATGTGACATAAAATATTGGCATCTATAAAGATAATCTAGAACTCATACCTTTACAAGAAGAACTCGACAACAAACAGGTTAATGATTTTTAGCAACTTAAAGACTATTTAAGGTTAGTTACTGCCTAAGAAAAATTGAAGTGCCCTGAAATCAGAGTTCACATAAGAACCTACCTCATGACAAGTTTCCCCAAATTTAATAGAACTAAAAATTGACATTATTACCAACAACAAATCGTGAAACTGCAATAACTTTTCTAAGCTTCCAATAATAAAAAATAAATGTTGACTAACTTTGCTTGAAGGGAATAGCACATTATTCATTCTCATCCTGTCAAATGACAAGGCAATAAAAAATGTAAAACTAAAAATATAGGAAAAACATAGCGATGGTTCAGGTAGTTAATTTAAAATATCATTTTACTGAATTTCTAAAATATTTGTGGTATTTATCTTTTTTAAAATCTCTAATTTGTTGTTATTGATTTTCTTATTCTAAGTAAATATTTACTTTGGTTTCCCCACCCCCAGTCCGATTCCTGCCCTGCCTCAGTCACTCAAAGAATTGGAGAATGTATTGAAAAAAAGCGACAGTAGAAATAGAAACCCCAGTTAGAAGGATAATAATTTTTTTTTCCCATTTATTTATTTTATTGCATTTTAGGTTTTGGGGTACATGTGAAGAACATGCAAAATTGTTGCATAGGAACACACGTGGCAGTGTGATTTGCTGCCTTCCTCTCCATCACCTACATCTGGCATTTCTCCCCTTGCTATCTCTCCCCAACTTCCCACCCCCCACTGTCCCTCCCCTATTTCCCCCCAACTGGCCCCAGTGTGTAGTGCTCCCCTCCCTGTGTCCATGTGTTCTCATTGTTCAACACGCGCCTATGAGTGAGAACATGCGGTGTTTGATCTTCTGCTCTTGTGTCAGTTTGCTGAGAATGATGGTTTCCAGGTTCATCCATGTCCCTACAAAGGACCCAAACTCATCGTTTTTGATGGCTGCATAATATTCCATGGTGTATATGTGCCACATTTTCCCTATCCAGTCTATCGGCGATGGGCATTTGGGTTGGTTCCAGGTCTTTGCTATTATTGTAAATAGTGCTGCAATGAACATTCGTGTGCACGTGTCCTTATAGTAGGACGATTTATAATCCTTTGGATATATACCCAGTAATGGGATTGCTGGGTCAAATGGAATTCCTATTTCTAGGTTCTTGAGGAATCGCCACACTGTCTTCCACAATGGTTGAACTAATTTACACTCCCAACAACAGTGTAACAGTGTTCCTATTTCTCCACATCTTCTCCAGCATCTGTTGTCTCCAGATTTTTTAATGATCGCCATTCTAACTGGCTTGAGATGGTATCTCAATGTTGTTTTGATTTGCATTTCTCTGATGACCAGTGATGATGAGCATTTTTTCATATGTTTGTTGGCCTGATGTATGTCTTCTTTTGTAAAGTGTCTGTTCATATCCTTTGCCCATTTTTGAATGGGCTTGTTAGTTTTTTTCTTGTAAATCTGTTTTAGTTCTTTGTAAATTCTGGATATCAGCCCTTTGTCAGATAGGTAAACTGCAAAAAATTTTTCCCATTCTGTTGGTTGCCGATTCACTCTAATGATTGTTTCTTTTGCTGTGCAGAAGCTGTGGAGTTTGATTAGGTCCCATTTGTCTATTTTGGCTTTTGTTGTCAATGCTTTTGGTGTTTTGGCCATGAAGTCTTTGCCTACACCTATGTCCTGAATGGTTTTGCCTAGATTTTCTTCTAGGGTTTTTATGGTGTTAGGTCTTATGTTTAAGTCTTTAATCCATCTGGAGTTAATTTTAGTGTAAGGTGTCAGGAAGGGGTTCAGTTTCTGCTTTCTGCACATGGCTAGCCAGCTTTCCCAACACCATTTATTGAACAGGGAATCCTTTCCCCATTGCTTGTTTTTGTCAGGTTTGTCAAAGATCAGATGGTTGTAGATATGTTGTGTTGCCTCCGAGACCTCTGTTCTGTTCCATTGGTCTATATCTCTGTTTTGGTACCAGTACCATGCTGTTTTGATTACTGTAGCCTTGTAGTATAGTTTGAAGTCCGGTAGTGTGATGCCCCCCGCTTTGTTCTTTTTGCTTAGAATTGACTTGGCTATGCAGGCTCTCTTTTGGTTCCATATGAAGTTTAAGGTGGTTTTTTCCAGTTCTGCGAAGAAGGTCATTGGTAGCTTGATGGGGATAGCGCTGAATCTGTAAATTACTTTGGGCAGTATGGCCATTTTCACGATATTGATTCTTCCTACCCATGAACATGGAATGTTTCTCCATCTGTTTGTGTCCTCTCTTATTTCGTTGAGCAGTGGCTTGTAGTTCTCCTTGAAGAGGTCCTTTACATTCCTTGTTAGTTGTATTCCTAGGTGTTTTATTCTCTTAGTGGCAATTGTGAATGGAAGTTTGTTCTTGATTTGGCTCTCTTTAAGTCTGTTATTGGTGTATAGGAATGCATGTGATTTTTGCACATTGATTTTGTATCCTGAGACTTTGCTGAACTTGCTTATCAGTTTCAGGAGGTTTGGGGCTGAGACGATGGGGTCTTCTAGATATACAATCATGTCGTCTGCAAATAGAGACAATTTGACTTCCTCCTTTCCTATTTGAATGCCCTTTATTTCTTTTTCTTGCCTGATTGCTCTGGCTAGAACTTCTAATACTATATTGAATAGCAGTGGTGAGAGAGGGCATCCTTGTCTGGTGCCACATTTCGGGGGGAATGCTTCCAGTTTTTGCCCTTCAGTATGATATTGGCTGTTGGTTTGTCATAAATAGCTTTTATTATTTTGAGATACGTTCCATCGATACCTAGCTTATTCAGTGTTTTTAGCATAAAGGGCTGTTGAATTTTGTCAAAGGCCTTCTCTGCATCAATTGAGATAATCATGTGGTTTTTGTCTTTGGTTCTGTTTATGTGGTGAATTATGTTTATAGACTTGCGTATGTTGAACCAGCCTTGCATCCCCGGGATGAAGCCTACTTGAACATGGTCAATAAGCTTTTTGATGTGCTGTTGCAATCGGCTTATCAGTATTTTATTGAAGATTTTTGCATCTATGTTCATCATGGATATTGGCCTGAAGTTTTCTTTTCTTGTTGAGTCTCTGCCGGGTTTTGGAATCAGGATGATGTTGGTGTCATAAAATGATTTTGGAAGAATTCCCTCTTTTTGTATTGTTTGGAATAGTTTCAGAAGAAATGGTACCAGCTCCTCTTTGTATGTCTGGTAGAATTCAGCTGTGAACCCATCTGGACCTGGGCTTTTTTTGGGTGGTAAGCTCTTAATTGCTGCCTCAACTTCAGACCTTGTTATGGGTCTGTTCAGGGTTTCGGCTTCTTCCTGGTTTAGGCTTGGCAGGAGGCAAGTGTCCAGGAATTTATCCATTTCTTCCAGGTTTATTAGTTTGTGTGCATAGAGTTGTTTGTAATAATCTCTGATGATGGTTTGAATTTCTGTGGAATCTGTGGTGATATCCCCTTTATCGTTTTTTATTGCATCAATTTGGTTATTCTCTCTTTTCTTTTTTATTAATCTGGCTAGTGGTCTATTTTGTTGATCTTTTCAAAAAACCAGCTCCTGGATTTATTGATTTTTTGAAGGGTTTTTTGTGTCTCTATCTCCTTCAGTTCTGCCCTGATCTTAGCTATTTCTTGTCTTCTGCTAGACTTTGAGTTTTTTTGATCTTGCTCCTCTAGCTCTTTCAGTTTTGACGATAGGGTGTCAATTTTTGATCTCTCCTTGCTTCTCATGTGGGCACTTATTGCTATATATTTTCCTCTAGAGACTGCTTTAAATGTGTCCCAGAGATTCTGGTATGTTGTGTCTTCATTCTCGTTGGTTTCGAAGAACATCTTTATTTCTGCCTTCATTTCATTGTTTATCCAGTCAACATTCAAGAGCAAGTTGTTCAGTTTCCATGAAGCTGTGCGGTTCTGAGTTAGTTTTTGAATTCTGAGTTCTAACTTGATTGCACTGTGATCTGAGAGACTGTTTGTTACGATTTCCATTCTTTTGCATTTGCTGAGGAGTGATTTACTCCCAATTATGTGGTCAATTTTAGAGTAGGTGTGATGTGGTGCTGAGAAGAATGTATATTCTGTGGATTTGGGGTGGAAAGTTCTGTAATTGTCTATTAGGTTTGCTTGGTCCAGGTCTGAGTTCAAGTCCTGGATATCCTTGTTAATTTTCTGTCTGGTTGATCTGTCTAATGTTGACAATGGGGTGTTAAAGTCTCCCACTATTATTGTGTGGGAGTCTATGTCTCTTTGTAAGTCATTAAGAACTTACCTTATGTATCTGGGTGCTCCTGTATTGGGTGTGTATATATTTAGGATCATTAGCTCTTCTTGTTGCATTGATCCTTTTACCATTATGTAATGTCCCTCTTTGTCTCTTATGATCTTTGTTGCTTTAAAGTCTAATTTATCAGAGATGAGAATTGCAACTCCTGCTTTTTTTTGCTCTCCATTTGCTTGGTAAATCTTCCTCCATCCCTTTATTTTGAGCCTTTGTGTGTCCTTGCATGTGAGATGGGTTTCCTGGATACAGCACGCCGATGGGTTTTGTCTTTTTATCCAATTTGCCAGTCTGTGTCTTTTGATTGGGGCATTTAGTCCATTTACATTTAGGGTTAATATTGTTATGTGTAAATTTGATACTGCCATTTTGGTGCTAGCTGGGTGTTTTGCCCTTTAGTTGAGCTGGTACTTGTTGTTCCTTTATATGTGTAGAGCCTCTTTCAGGAGCTCTTGTAGAGCTGGCCTGGTGGTGACGAAATCTCTGAGTACTTGCATGTTCCCAAAGGATTTTATTTTTCCTTCACTTATGAAGCTTAGTTTGGCTGGATAGGAGATTCTGGGTTGAAAGTTCTTTTCTTTAAGGATGTTGAATATTGGCCCCCATTCTCTTCTGGCTTGTAGGGTTTCTGCTGAGAGATCTGCTGTGAGTCTGATGGGATTCCCTTTATGGGTAACCCGACCTTTCTCTCTGGCTGCCCTTAGTATTTTCTCCTTCATTTCGACCCCGGTGAATCTGACGATTATGTGCCTTGGGGTTGCTCTTCTTGACGAATATCTTTGTGGTGGTCTCTGTATTTCCTGGACTTGAATGTTTGCCTGCCTTGCTAGGTTGGGGAAGTTTTCCTGGATAATATCCTGAAGAGTATTTTCCAGCTTGGATTCATTCTCTTCATCGCATTCGGGTACGCCTATCAAACATAGATTAGGTCTTTTCACATAGTCCCACATTTCTTGGAGACTTTGTTCATTCCTTTTTACCCTTTTTTCTCCAGTCTTGCCTTCCCGTTTTATTTCATTGAGTTGATCTTCGACCTCTGATATCCTTTCTTCTGCTTGGTCAATTCGGCTGTTGATACTTGTGCATGCTTCACGAAGTTCTCGTGTTGCGTTTTTCAGCTCCATCAATTCACTTATATTCCTTTCTATTTTGTCCATTCTCGTTAGCATTTCATCAAATCTTTTTTCAAGGTTCTTAGTTTCTTTGCATTTGGTTAGAACATGTTCTTTAAGTTCACAGAAGTTTCTTAGTACCCACCTTCTGAAGTCTGATTCTGTCATTTCATCACACTCGTTCTCCATCCAACGTTGTTCCCTTGCTGGTGAAGAGTTGTGATCCCTTTTAGGAGGAGAGGTGTTCTGGTTTCGGGTGTTTTCATCCTTTTTGCGCCGGTTTCTTCCCATCTTTAAGGATTTATCCACCTGTGGACTTTGTAGTTGCTGGCTTTCAGATTGGGTCTCAAATATTTCAGATTGACGTTCTGTTTGTTGATGATGAGGTTATTTCTGTTTCTTGGTTTTCCTTCTGACAGTCTGGCCCCCTCTGCTGTAGGTCTGCTGAGGTTCATTCCAGGCCCTGCTTGTCTGGGGTTCACCTGCAGCAGCTGCTGAACAGCAAGGGTTGTTACCAGTTTTCTTCTGCTGCTATCTTTGTCCCAGAAGGATACCCGCCTAGTGTCAATCTGATCTCTCTTTTATGAGGTGTCTTCTTGGATATATAGGGGTCAGGGAGCTGCTTGAGGAGACGGTCTCTTCTTTATAGGAGCTCAAATGGTGAGCTGTGAGCTCTGTTGTTGTTCATTCAGAGCTGCTGGGCAGGTACTTTTAGGTCTGCTGCAGCAGAACTCATAAACTGCTTTTTGTTCCCAGGTGCTCTGTCCCAGGGATTTAGGGCTTTATTTATGAGTTTCCGTTATGCTGCGGCCTTCTATTTTTTTTTTTTTTTTCCTTCAGACCTGCCCAGCCCAGCAAGGAGGCAGCCTAGTCACTGTCGGCCTATAGCAGCTTTGCTGGGCTGCTGTGGGCTCCGCCCCGCTGCTGAGTGAACTTCCCTGCAGTCCTGTTTATATGGGTGTAGTTAGAACTGCTTTGGCGATGGTGGCCCGTGTCTGTTGAGGCAGAGTGTCTCTGCTGTGGCGGGTTGCCTTGGCAACGGCGGGCTGCCTCAGCAATGGCGGGTTGCCTTGGCAACGGCAGGCTGCCTCGGTAATGGCGGACGCCCCTCCCCCACATAGCTGGACCGTCCCTGGTTCAGCTGCGCTTGCTGTGAAAGTCTCAGTCCAGAGTTTCTGGTTGCTGTTCTTTTGTGGGGGTGGGACCAGCCGAGCCTGATCGCCTGGCTCCCTGCCTCAGCTCATTTTTTAAGTTGGTGTTCCAGTCGCCTGTTGAAGAGGCGCCGGGGTCTGTTTGTTTTCCCCTGCGGCCACTCACTGCGCTGGCTTAAACAGCAGCACTGAGGTTTGTGGAGCTTTTTTTTTTTTTTTTGCCCTGGAATCTACTGTCCTGGTTCTCTGCTCAGTCCCCTTTGAACCAACGAATGGGCGACTTCCCGTGGCTCCAATCGCCAGCCAAAAGGGCACCCGGACCGGTGTATTTTGTATGGAGAACCGCGGCTCCGGGGCGCCAACAAAGCAGCCGCACGCGCGGGGCAAAGCAGTGGCGCTGGCCGGCACAGCCGCGCTGGCCGAAACAGCCGCGCTGGCGACCGTGGAGCTCCTCTGCCCGGGAATTTCCTAGTCTGTGGGCAATAAAAACGCGGCGTCCACTCACCCTCTGTGCTTTCACTGGGAGCTGCAATACTGAGCTGTTCCTAAACGGCCATCTTGGATCGTCCTCCAGAAGGATAATAATTTCTAATGTGTCTTACTACTTATAAGTAGAGGTTTTATTTACATTTATATTTTCCTATTTTATTTAACTCTACTTTCATGGTGCCTAGTACTAGACACACACACACATACATACAAACTGGTTACTTGATCTTGATCTCATGATATGTGCTGTCTAGTGAGGGTGCAGATATGCAAACAGACAATTTCAGCTCAATAAGTTAATTGTTAAGATTAACCTGGGCGGTCCCACTGAAAGCCTGGCAACTCAGAAAGCTGAAGAGGTAGCGTTATCTAATGTTTACCAAATGATTTCCTTACCAACCTCCTGCCAATAGTCGCCTTTTATTCATTTATTCCTCAAGCATTTACAAAGTAGTTTTTGAAGGATACACTAACAAACATACAACAGAGACACTCATAATTACTATGGAAATGTGTTAAAACATTTTAATAATTTTAGCACTAGGGGCTGATTTCTTGGAAGACTGGAAGGGCAGGGGATGGTTTCAGGATGAAACTGTTCCACCTCAGATCATCAGGCATTAGATTCTCATAAGGAGCACACGACCTAGATCCCTCACATGTGCAGTTTTTAATAGGGTTCTCACTCCTGTGGGCCACTGTTGATCTGACAGAAGGCAGAGCTCAGGCAGTAATGCCAGCAATGGGATGGGGCTGTAAATTGAGATGAAGCTTCAGTCACTCACCTGCCGCTCGCTTCCTGTTATGTGGCCTGTTTCCTAACAGGCCAGTGACCAGTAGCAGTCTGGGGTTGGGGGGAGGGCAGTGGTTAAGAACCCCTCTGTTAAAAGATATAATAATGACTTAGTTTTATTCAGCTCAGTTCTGTTCAGTAAAAAACTTGTGAAGACCCATGTTTATGTGCTAGGAACTGAGGATACAAAGACAAACTGAAATATGACGAGAATGGCTGATGCACATTAGCAAGAAAAGAACACTAGCTTAATAATAGTGCCTATATATGAAATAGAAGATAGTATATGTAGTAGAAGCCTTTATGTGAAATAAAAGAAGTACTACATGGAAAGGCATAATTCTGTTGAAGAGGCATCACGAAAGGGTTCGCACGGGAGGTAATGCCTGAGCAGGATTTTTAAAGGATAAAACATTTACCCACCTTAGAAAAGGATATTCCTTGCAGGTGAAAGAACAAGCCCAGAGGTACACAGGAATAAAGCAACAGCCAATACAAGAAAACATCGGTAATTTAGTACTGCAGAAACACAAATACAAGAGACTGCCTGGTAGTAGCTTGATATTAGGCTAACAAAAGATGAAGTGTCTTTTATCTCCTTTATAACGATATGGAGAGACACTGAAGGATTTTAGTTTGTGTTTGATAGTATTCTGTGACCATCTGGAAAAAAAATTACTTAAATGACAATGTGAAAAATGGATTGGGAAGCAGAGTAGACATCAGCAAGACAAGAAGAGAGGCAGAGGAATCAGTTCAGAGGCTTACAGAAATCCAGGCAATGTTTATTGTGAGCCATAAGTAAAGGTAGAAGTGACCACAAAGAAAGAAAAGTACGATCGGGTGCGGTGGCTCATGCCTGTAATCCCGGCACTTTTGGAGGCTGAGGCAGGTGGATAATGAGGTCAGGAGTTCAAGACCAGCCTAGCCAAGATGGTGAAACCTCATCTTTACTAAAAATATGAAAATTACCTGGGCATGGTGGCAGGCATCTGTAATCCCAGCTACTCGGGAGGCTGAAGCAGGTAATTGAAGTCAGGAGGAGGAGGTTGCAGTGAGCTGAGATGGGAGACGGCACCACTGCACTCCAGCCTGGGTAACAGAGTGAGACTCCTTCTCAAAAAGAAAAAGAAAGAAAGAAAGAGAAAGAGAGAGAGAAAAAGAAAGGAAAGAAAGAAAAGAAAAGAAAAAAGAAAAGAAAGAAAGAAAGAAAAAAAGAAAGAAAAAGGAAGAGAAACAAAGAAAGAGAAGACAAAGAAGAAAAGAAAGAAAGAGAAAGAAAGAAAGAGAAAGAAAGAAGAAAGGAAGGAAGGAAGGAAAGGAGGGAGGGACACATAGCTGAGAGAATAAGGAAAACTTGCAACAGTTCAGAGAGTGTGAGAATGAGAAGTGGAAAATAGTGATGCCAGTTATTGACTTGGCCACTCAGAATGATAGAGAAAACAACAAAAAGGTACTGTGATTTGTCTGAGGAGGCATAAGAGAATGGCATCTAGATTGTAGGTGAAAGGAAGGGACAAAAGCAAGATTAGGTGAAGTAGAGATCATCCAGTTTAAGTGGAAGAGGTCTACTGGAAAGCTGCAGGACTTTGAAGTTTTGAGATAGCATTTCTGGAGAATGTTCACTGAAATGATTCAGGAGACAATTGAAGGTGAAAATCAGAAATTTATAAGGCCATTTACCTGTGTGGTGGTGAGATTCACTGGCAAATAAAGGAGGGGATGATAAATTGAAGTAATAGTAAACCTGAAGTCGTCACAGAGTGAGAATTCTAGACAAAAGAGGTATATTTTCAGACAGTGGGATAACTGAGTGTGAGAGTTTAGACATGGAGTGGTTCTGAGTATAACCACCCAGCATGCCGCTACAGAGGTGAATACAAGAAATGGAAGGAAAATAAAGGTCATTAGACTTGATTAAGAACTGTGAGTCCAGACTACAGTATTAGATAAGCCATTCACATTGACATTTAATCAGTAGCATGTGATAAGAATGAAAACCAGGTACTGAAGTCTGCATTGGTGAGGAGGGAGTTAAAGGAGATCTGTGGATAGCAGATGGTAGGTAGAGGGGAAGTTATAAAAGGAGTGAGGCAGGTAGGAAGAAAGCAGAAAAAACCATGGCCTTACACAAGCTAAGGAATTCTCAATATTTCCTAAACTCTTGCTAGAGGCTTAATAACTAAAAAAAAATTAATGCATTTCCAAGATTATTTAAATGTCCAATATCTTAAGCCAAAGGTATATCTGATGTGGAAATATCAGATACTGAGGCAAGGTTTTTCAGAAAAAATATTTTTTTTCTTTTTTTTTTTATTGCATTTTAGGTTTTGGGGTACATTTGAAGAACATGCAAGATTGTTGCATAGGTACACACATGGCAGTGTGATTTGCGGCCTTCCTCCCCTTCACCTATATCTGGCATTTCTTCCAATGCTATCTCTCCCCAACTCCCCACCTCCCACTGTCCCTCCCCTATTTCCCCCCAACAGACCCCAGTGTGTAGTACTTCCCTCCCTGTGTCCATGTGTTCTCATTGTTCAACACCCACCTATGAGTGAGAACATGCGGTGTTTGATTTTCTGCTCTTGTGTCAGTTTGCTGAGAATGATGGTTTCCAGGTTCATCCATGTCCCTACAAAGGACACGAACTCATCGTTTTTGATGGCTGCATAATATTCCATGGTGTATATGTGCCACATTTTGCCTATCATCAATGGGCATTTGGGTTGGTTCCAGGTCTTTGCTATTGTAAACAGTGCTGCAATGAACATTCATGTGCATGTGTCCTTTTATAATAGAATGATTTATAATCCTTTGGTTTTTCAGAAAAATTTATTGGAACATTGGGAACTTTTCCATAGCTTTATTTATTCTGCCGTTATTACCTACATATTTGAACAGGCCACTCAAGGCATTCAAAAACTTCGTAAGAGCAATGTGTGTGATCACTCCCTATTTAGTAAGTTACGTTAAATAACTCTTAGTTACAAAATTGAAAAGACTGTTAGATCAAAGACTCTAATTTACTATATTACAAACTAGACCCACTTCTTAAATCTTCAGCCTTACCTGATCCTTACTCTGTGAGGTTGTCCCCAAAAGAATATAGATAGGCTCTTTATTTTTCTGCTTTTAATCTAATACTACACTTCTAATCAAACACATGCATGTTAGCAAAATATAAAGAGCATAGTATTTATTTAAATTTGTAACTGAGTACGTGAAACAAATTTTAAAATTAAAAGCCTTTACAAGTTCTTATTAGCATTCTGTGCTAATAATTATTTTCATAAATATTGCTATTACAAGAAAAAGAAAATACAGTTATGTTATTTAAAGCTCATTGAATATCAATTTCCTCATATTTAATAGAAAATACTTCTGGCTGGGTGCATACGCCTTTAATCCCAGCACTTTGGGAGGCTAAGGCAGGCAGATCGCTTGAGCCCAGGAGTTCCATTCCATCCTGGGCAACATGGCGAAACCCTATCTTTACAAATACAAAAAAGAAACTAGCCGGGCATGGTGGTGCACCTGTAGTCCCAGCTACTCAAGAGGTGAAGATGGAAGGACGTCTTGAGTCGCAGAGGTTGAGACTGCAGTCAGCCCTGAGATTCTGCTTCTGCACTCCAGCTTGACTGACATAGTGAAACCCTTTCTCAAAAAAAAAAAAAAAAGAAAAGAAAGAAAGAAAGAAAGAAAAAATTGCCCAGCCTTCCTATAAATGTATGCTAATTATAAAAAAGAAAATATAGGTAATAATATTTTGCTACATAAATCAAAATTCTCTACACTTAATGTAGTTGGATATAATATCAAATTCATTTAAAAATTTTAAACGTTATGATTTTCAAATAACTATTTTTGGCAAATAATTTCTCATAATTCTCTTTCTACAGATGACCTACAGACAATGAACAGCAGGGGGCACAAAAATCAAACGTTTTTCACTACAAAGTGAAACAATAAAACCTTACGTAGTGGAAAGAAGATGCACTTTAGAAGCAGACAGACTGATTCCAGCTGGCTTCCTCAAGTATAAGCTAAGTGACCTTTAATTATTGAATCTGTCTTAGCGTCTTCAATGGTAAAATCATAACTGTGAATATTAAATGTTAACATACATACATAAGGTGGGTAAATAAACATTAGGGCTTTTTCTTTCATTGCTTATTTCATGTGTATGTATGTGCATACCAGAAACATACATTGAATAAATGAAAACTTAGATTTCATAGCAATTTATGCAGATCATAAACATGGAAATAGCTGTAGAGGTTTATCATAGCATGTTAGTGCAAGTACAACCATATCAAAACTAAACAAAAGCTAAACAAAAGAAATCGTGCACCAATATCTCACAGATTACCACTAAATAACTTATGTAACCAAATACCACCTGTACCCCAATAACTTATGAGAAAAAAAATTTTTTTAAATACAATCACAGCATTTTTCTGTATGCAAAAATATGAATGGCAGACAAAGTGGATATAAACATGTGATAAGATTTTCAACATTGTATAGTACAGTGTTTCTCAAGGTGTGATACAGGAAAAGTATTCAGTAGAATCATGAGGAAGTGGTTGTTTTGAATGCAGATTCCTGTCCTACTCAGAATCTACTTTTTCAGATCTGTGGGAGTAGCACTTCAATTAAACAGAAACGATAATGTTGTACTTGCTTCCTAGGTTCTTGTGAATATTTAAACGTCATGTATTGTGAGGTTAGTACTCTACTTGGCACGTCATTATTAGGTTCCTTTTTTTCTTCTAAAATAACATATATGTACTCACAAATGACTTTTTCAAGAACACCTGGTCATGGTGCCATTTTTTTTCTCTTCTAAGAAGAACTAAGGCAATTTTTACTACTTTGAACAGCCAGGGACAAACACATCCTTCCTTGTCTGATTTGTGGCTATGATGTGTTCTTTCAAATAATCTCTTCCCAGTTATTTTCTGTATTCCCTAGGCACTGGAAGACATGCTCTACTTAAAAAAAAAACAACAGCAAAAAACAAAAAACAGTATAAAATCTCATAAATTTGAATTTAATAAATTAAAAATTTTTGGTAGCTCATATAGGACTAAGCTTAAATATATGTTGACTTTAAAGCTTAAGTTTTATCAATGAAATGCATTTGGGTTTTAATAAACTTATTTTAAAACTCTTCAAGAATCAATATGAAAATTAACAAATATTGACGTAATCATCATAAACTACTCTTATCTATTCATCAAGAGTAAAACTTACTTTCCAGCAATCAATCTAGTTCATAAGTAAATAAAATAAAAATCGTTTCTCTCTCATCACCCAGAGATAACCACTCTTAACATTTTTGCTTTATTTTCCTTACTTTTTAAAATATATTCACATAAAATACATTTTTTAAAATATGGATCATATTCTGTGTATCACACAATTTGCAAGCCATTTCCAATTCAATGGATGAAATTTTTCATCATATTCTTGATTGCCTGCTATTTCACTGTGTAAGTGTGCCATAATTTGGTTCACCAATTCCATGTTATTGGATTGTTGGACTGTTTTTTTCTTTTTACTTTCTATTGTAAACAGAAAATTGATAATGCCTTTAGGACAAATTCTTAGAGAATTACTAGGTCAAAGAATATGTGGGCTGTGTGTGTGTGTGTGTGTGTGTGTGTGTGTGTGTGTGTGTGTGTTTCCCATATCCTCAGCATTACAGGGGTATTATTGCACTTTCTCTTTCTTTGTTAATATAGTAAGTGAAAAATAGCATCTCTTTGTTTTAACTTATATTCTTCAAATATTAGAAAACTGGGATCTGGGTGTAGTGGCTCACACCTGTAATCCCAGCACTTTAGGGGGCCAAGGTGGGCATGTCACCTGAGCTCAAGACTTCCAGACCAGCCTGGGCAACATACTGAAACCTTATCTCTACAAAACATACAAAAAATTACCCTAGCATGGTGATGCACACTGTGATCCCAGCTACTCTGAAGGCTGAGGTGGGAGGATGGCTTGAGCCAGGGAAGTTGAAGCTGCAGTGAGCTGAGATCGCACCACTGCAATCCAGCCTGGGTGGCAGAGTGAGATCCTGTCTTAAAAAAAAAGAAAAATTGAAAAACAGTTTATGACCTATTGTAGTTCTTTTGTGAATTGCATTTTTATACCTTTAGTCCCTTCCGATATTACAGTCTTTCTACTATTTTGAAAATAGCTTCACCGGTTTGTCTTTTGGCTTAGCTTATGGTTTTTTTTTAATACAGAAATTTTGGGGAGATTTTTGTTGTTTGGTTATATCAATCCTTTTCTATATAATTTCTTCTTTTAGGTTCTACTTGGAACGTTTTTCTTAACCCAAGATTATACAAATATTTACCTATACATTCTGGTACGAAATATAAAGTACATATTCAACTGTATATAAGAATTTAAAATAACAATTCATTCAACCATTTATTCATTCATGCATATTCACTCATGTATATTGAGCACATATACACCAGGAACTGTTCTAAGTGGGGATAAGGCTAGGAACAAGACTACCAGGGTTCCTGCTCTCATAAACTTATTTTTCCAGAAGGAATATGATATAGCATGTAATTTAATGTGAGCTTTCCGATCAATCGGGGAAAGAATGGATTATTCAATATGCAATGCTGTTACAACTAGTTAACCATAGGAAAAGAAATAAAATTATTTTATACCTAACATCAAATACATTAAAATTGGATTTAAAAACTGTATTTTAAAAATAAAGCCATGAAAATAGTACAAAAACATAAATGAATATTATTTAAAAAATTACGTATATTTCTAAACATGGAAATTTTACAGCAAGATTTCAAGACAACTTCAGAAATGACATTATTTTTAATGGAATAAAACAAGGTAATTTTTGAACAATAATCTTTATTAGTGTATTTTTAAAGGTACATATAATCCTGAGCTAACACATTTATACATTTGTCATTTACTCTTGGAAGTGTACATGTATTTTCCTCCAAATTCTGGGATGAGTACGTCTTTATACTAATCAGTAACATAAATAGTTTAAAATGTTAGTCTTATCTCTGGAATCACCAATTAGTTTACTCAGACGATCTCACTGTCTAATTTGACTACATTTAAAGACTGTAGAACATTTGTAATTAAGCAATTTATTTTTCAAAACTGCAAAGATGGGCAGTGCAGGAGCTGATTCCATAAATTTCAATGAATTCTTAGAAAACTACGTTGTTCTTCTTCTCTGATCTAGTTTCTTGAATAATTTGGGTAATTATCTGATAAGTTACCTTTGAGGAGAATAGTAAAATTACCTCCAATTTCAATTATTTTAGCTATTGTAAAATGTCATAAGCTTCTTCAAATGTAAGTACAGTAGTACATAATTACCTCAATAAGAAAAATGTACCATGATTTAAGGAAAAGGGGCACAACCCAATGTAAATATATCTTTGATTAAATAGTTAAGTATTATAAAACATGTAATGATAAACATTAAATTCCATAAATCCAGACCAGATCTTTTCTAACTGGTAAATAAAAAGACAAAAATGAAAGACAAAAGTCCTGTGATCTTTGAGAAAAGACATTTATCCAACATCTCCAACTGTGGACAAATAAATATTCATTCTTGTATTTTAAATTACTACCAAAATATTGTATCTTTCTACAAACAACAAAAACAAGCATACAGTATCTAGAAATGTTTTTTTCTCTGTCAAGAATGTCAAGTCTTTGAAGGTACACTAAATTTTTTTCCTGAATAAGGTCACTATAATCTTAGGTTAAAGTTACAGTAAGCAGTTCAAGCAAAATGCATATTGCTTAGGTATTAAGCAAGCAATTTTGATACTGTTTAATTAAAATGTAAGTATAAATGTGAAACTATTGTAGAAATATTTATAAACACTTAGGAATATTCACATATCAGCAAGTAATGAAATAACTGATTTTAAAATAATGAAAGGGTGTGAGTAAATGTAATGTTTGGTAACAGATCCAAAAATATCTATAAGAGATGTAAAAGAACATGAAAAAGCTTTATTATTACAATTATGAAAACCTAGCAGCAAAACAATTTGCATATAATGTAGTGCAATGAGCATTTGTTCATAAAAGACTCCCAAAGTCTTGAAACTATTATGTATAAACCAGAATGGAATCCATTAGGATAAATAATTTAAAGATGCCCAGAGTAGCTTACCAAGAACTGCTAGACACTCTCACCTGCATCACTGAAAAATAAACAAGCTTATGCAAAACTGTGTTCTGGATAACTGACTCTTATGGCTCCCCAGTAACAAGCTCGGATAAGGCAGATCAACCCTAGGAGATAAGCAATCGCCCAAGAAACATAGGTTGCTCGAAATCGCCTTGCAAAATCTTGGGTGCCAACCTAAAGTAAAAAGCAATATAAAAACAAAAGATTAGAGACTTTAAGAAAATATCTTCTTAGAGCACTTGTATCAGCTTACATGTGATTTTTATGAAACAAACCCCCAGACTGAATACACAAAGTCCTTATAAGAGTAGGTGTATCTGTTGACAAAACTGATAGACCATACTGCTACTTATATTAACTATAAATGTTATAAACAAGAAAGCACACTAAGATATGTTATCTCTGAAAGGAATTTAATTTATGTAACTATCATGAGACACAGTAGGACATTGCTAATAATAAGGGACTAGCTGTACTGATGAACAAAGGAGAATGGAAATGGCCGCAAAAGAGATTATCTTCCTCTTCTGGTATAATACCCATGCTAACTGCTTAGCTCCAGGCTCCTCTAAAAATAAGGCATCTTCATATTGGTGATAAATCTCTGCTTGATTTGGATAAAGAGAAGAGTGGTTTTGCAGATCTCCGTAGCTGAAGGAATGTTGCTTTGAATATACGATACCCCATAGCTATGCAAAATTAGTTCTGGCAATAAATTAAAAAAAAAAAAAAAAAGGGCTGTTGCTAAATAGATGATAAAGTCTCCAACAGTAAGGACTCTTGGAGGGATCCAAAGCCACCATTTCACCTGGATGGACGTTCCATTAAAAAGAGGTCCATGGATTGGGTTTCTGATTGCTCATAGTCATTCAGAAGCTTCTAGGCCTGGCATGCCAAGGATGCAGCCTCTTCAGGGATCCCTGAAGGTTGTCCCAGGCCTCAGACTGACTATTGATAAAGGTGAGAGGACAGAATTCTAACACCAAAGTAATACTCACAGTTAATCCTACTCCAATTAAAATACATATTATTCCAATTGTAATATATGCACAGCAGCGTCTTCGTGGAAGCGCACTACCCACTGAGGAGCTGCAAATTCATGAGAGCACAGAGAACATTTACATAAAAATTCACCATTTCATTTGTGTAAGTTCTTATCTATGGCTTTGGTAATATTACTTTATATATTTTTTATTAATTGCTTCAACTTTATAGACAAGAACGTGCATTAAACACATCATTTTTAATGGATGACAAAATTGTTCATGGTGAATTTGTGATATTATTGTGGCTTTAAACAAAGTTCAAGCCTTGGTTATTGATAATATCAACAGATATCCACCATAGTACCTAATAATCTCCTAAGATAAAAATTTATTTCCAAGGAATCTACTTCAGAATGGAAAAAGAGCTATCTTACGAATAGTATTTGATTTTTTTTAGCAGTTAAAATAGTATGTGTTTAAGGTTAAAAATTTAGAAAGTAGAATGAAAGAAAAGAAAGAATAAAGAATAAAAAGGAAAAGAAAAATTTCCCTATATTCCCAATATATAAAATAGTCATTCAATATTTTGCATACTTTCCTCTAGTCAATTTTGTACTTTACTAATATATAGCATGAACTTTTCCCTCTAATATTCTCAAACTAAAATTCTGATGGATGAATATAACATAATTAACAAATTTTCTACCATTGTACATTAAAGTATGTTGTTTATTATACATAATGCCAACAAAGCAGCATTTAAAACCAGTGTGCTTATTTTTAATCATTCTTAAAATTTTTAAATTTAGAATTAGGATTACAAATTAAAGGGATTTAACTTTTTGAAGTCTGTTTAATATATACTGCCAAAAACTTCCATTTGCTACTCAAATGAAATTCTAAATCTAATGGTATTATCCCTCTCAATTTCTAATTGTGGTAATTTTCAAAATGATATAAGTTATAGCAGAGATCAGTAGCCAAATTAGCACTTTCTTCTCTGTCTTAACATACATATATTTATTACTATATACCATATGCAAGGTATCGTGTTAGTGAATGACACATAAGTATCTGGTTTGCCTTTGTATGGCCAGTGTCAAGATTATACCTAACACATAATAACCTTTCAAAGAATGTCTGATGAATAAATAAAATACAGAAACTCATCACTTAGTAGACACGATTTAGAAACATACTGTTCGAAATAGGTTAATTTTGCATACAAAATTATTTCCTTTAATTTCCGAAATTTGTTGCAAATATACATCATAAATTTTCCTGGATACTTGAGCCCAAACACAAACATCTGGATGACCTGGGAACCACCATTAATTATTGTATTGTACAGCTTGCTATCTAGAGTTACTATGGCATGTAGACTCATTGCCTTTCTGTAATATTTAGCCCCAGCCTATTTTTGGTTCTAACTTCTATGCATCCACTAGTGGGTTTTCCTGCCTTATGCCTCACAGCTGGTGGTTGTTTCTCATCACTGCCTGTGTATCTGCCTTAGGCAGTTTGTAATATACCATTCATTAGAAGCCAACTAAGCTTATTAGAATTATGTATTGAACAAGCCAAAAGTTTCTAAGTGACTATTAGAGCAGCTTTTCTGTGAGCCAAGAGAATACAGTTTAGTACATTAATTTCAGTGCCTAAATTCTGCTTAGAAAACCCATGCTCTTTTCCCTCACTCAAATTGTCACTACATCTGAGAAATCTTCTCAGAAAAAAAAAATAACCTACTCCTACTCCACAACTCAAGTGCCATCTCCTTACAGGATAAGGCAATTATCAACAAGTACTTATTGGATCAATCGTAAACTCTCTTACACATTTAATACATATGTGGTATCTACATGCAATATATATTACTGGTACAAAAACAGACACTCAGACCAATTGAACAGAATAGAGAACTCAGATATAAGGCCACACAAAACTATCTGATCTTCAACAAACCTGATAAAAACAAGCAATGGGGAAAGGATTCTCTATTCAATAAATGGTGCTGGGATAACTGGCTAGCCATATACAGAAGATTGAAACTGGACTCCTTCCTTATACCAGATATAAAAATTAACTCAAGATGGATTAAAGACTTAAATGTAATCTATAAAACTACAATGACCCTGGAAGAAAACCCAGGCAATACCATTCTGGACATAGGAACAGGCAAAAGATTTCATGATGATGACACCAAAAGAAACTGCAACAAAAGCAAAAATTGACAAATGATATCTAATTAAACTAAAGAGCTTTTGCACACCAAAGGAAACTATCAACAGCGTGAATAGACAACCTACAGAATGGGAGAAAAGTTTTACAAACTATGCACCTGACAAAGGTCTAATATCCAGCATCTATGAGGAACTTAAATTTACAGGAAAAAAAAAAAAAAACCTTAAAAAGTGGGCAAAGGACATGAAAAGACACTTTTCAAAAGAAGATATACATGCAGCCAACAATTCTTTTGTTTTGTTTTGTTTTTGAGACGGGGACTTGCTTTGTCGCCCAGGCTGGAGTGCAATGGTGCAATCTCGGCTCACGGCAACCTCTACTTCCTGGATTCAAGAGATTCTTCTTCCCCTGCCTCCCCAGTAACTGGGACTACAGGTGTGTGCCACCACATCTGGCTAAGTTTTGTATTTTCAGTAGAGATGGGGTTTCACCATGTTGGCCAGGCTGGTCTCAAACTTCTGACCTCGTGATCTGCCTGCTTAGGCCTCCCAAAGTGCTGGGATTACAGGTGTGAGCCATGGTGCCCTGCCGTGGCCAACAATTCTATGAAAAAAGCTCAACATCGCTGATCATTAGAGAAATGCAAATAAAAACCACAATGAGATACCATCTCACACCAGTCAGAATTAATATTATTAAAAAGTCAAAAAATAACAGATGCTGGCAAGGTTGTGGAGAAACGGGAACATAACATTTAGAAACCCAGAATACAGAAGTTTAAAAAGAAGTTTATTTCTCTAGCATATAAAACTTGAAGGTAAATGTACAGCCTACTGTTAGTAGTCAGCTTTATTCCCTGATTAATTGGTATTGCCAAACTCTACACAGGTAACAACATTCCTGCCACAGTTGCCTTTTCCACTTAATTCAATGAGGGGAGAAAAAACCAAGATAAGCAATTTTTGTCTTTAAGGAGAGTATCAGAAAACTGTACTCATCACTTTTGTTCACATTCCATTGGTCCTAACTTAGACACGGCCACATTATCTGCAAGACAGGCTAGGAAATGCAGTCTCTAGATGGGTGACTAGTCAAATTCAGAGTTCTACTAGTAAAAGGAAGAAGAAAACAGCAGTTTCTGTTATTTTAATTAATATTAATATTATTATTTTAATGTTGGTTAGTGTTTGCCTTGTATGTCTTTTCCTTTGGTTAATGTTTCATGCTTATATCTTTTTCTATCCTTATACTTTTGTACTCTGTTCTAATATTTCATGTATTCTCTCTTCAAATTGTATATAGGGGTTCTTACATCTAGTCTTATCCTTTCTGTTAAGTTTTTTTTTTGAGAAGGAGTCTGGCTCTGTCACCCAGGCTGGAGTGCATTGGTGGCACGATCTTGGCTCACTTCAACCTCCACCTCCTGGGTTCAAAAGATTCTTCTGCCTCAGTCTCCTGAGCAGCTGGGACTACAGGTGCACTGCCACCATGCCTGGCTAATTTTTGTGTTTTTAGCAGAGATGGGGTTTCACCACATTGGCCAGGCTGGTCTCAAACTCCTGAGCTTATGATCCACCCACCTCAGCCTCCCTAAGTGCAGGGATTACAGGCGTGAGCCACTGAGCCCAGCCTCTGTTAAGTTTTACTAGCAATATTAGTCTAATGGTATGCTTGGACTATTTCTGACATCGTATTTTGGCTTTCTACTATTCCTGTGTTTTCTGCTTTTCTACCTTTATTTCCAGACTCTTTCATATTGACTGTTACTCTTTTATTTCATTTTCCTATTATTATTCTAAAGTGTTACAATTTATTTCATTCATTTGGCAGTGGTACTTAAAATTTTAACATATATATCTTTTAAAAACTAAAGTCATTTAGTAAATCCACCTTCCTGATAAACACAAGGATTTTAGAAAATTTTAACTCCAAACATTCAACTCCCATCTTAATGCTATTGTTTTCCAGTATTTCAGTTTTGTATTTTTGTTTCTTGAAATTTATTAGCATTAATATAATTGATATTGTTGTTTTTGATATTTAATACAGTCAGTGTTTCTGGTGAATTGTTACAATTTATTGTTTTACCATTTCTTTCTGCATTGCAGAAATTTCTTCTGGAATATTTGTTCATATTTCTTAGTTCATCATTTAGCAGTTTTTTTTAGTAAGAGTGCCAGGATGGTAGATACACTGGGTTTTGTTTGCTTGTTTTTAGATTTATTGGTTTTGCATTTGAAAATATCCTTATTTTACCTTCATAATTCTTTGGTGGTTTAGATAGGTGTATAATACCAGTTTGACAGTTAATTTTTCTTAGTGTTTTTGATATATCTTAAAACTTGTTTTCTGGCTTCTATTTTTGCTGTTGAGACATTTGCTGACAGAACAGTTGTCTTTTTCATATTGAAAATATGCCTTTTGTCTCTCTGCTTTTAATTACTATTTCTCTTAGGTTTTTTTTTTTTTTTACAATTTCACTGTAACACATTTATTTATCCTGCTTGGCTTTCTCTATTCTTTTTGAATCTAAAAATTCATATCTTTCATAGATCTGAAAATTCTTTGAGATTATCTCCTAAAATGCCCTATCCCATTCTTTATTTGTTCCTTCTAGATCAGATATGTATTAGGCATCTTAATAATATATTTTCTGTTAATCTTACATTCATCTTTGTCTCTCTATGCTGGATTCTTGATAATTCACTTACCTCTATCTTCCAATTTATAACTTTAGTCTTCTCCTTCATCTGATCTGTTCTTTATCCTTTACAGGCATTTTAATTTCTGTATTAATTTCTAGAATTGCTATTGTTTATTTCTATATCTGTCTGGTTGTTTTTTTTTCAATTTACTACTTGAGACAATTATAGATTCACAAGCAGTTGTAATAAATAACACACAGAAATATCACGTGCC